TACCCCAATCTCTCACTTTGCTGTCTCGCTTCGACCATTCAGAGCAAGTAGTCAAAGACAGCCGCGGTCTGCTACAGATTCATCATGGTGCGTTGCCTCGCATTTCGATTAGGACATTGAACCTGTCCTCACTTCTTTTCCATTGATGCCACCTTCCCCGATGCGCGCAGTGCGGAATCATCGCATACCAGAACCACCTCGTCGACAAGGTAAGCAAGAACCGCCACGCTTCGCTGCTTCAAAAGAGTAGTGCTGAGATTTGTGATTCTCTTGTCTATAACAGGACCGCCGGCAAATCATTGAGATTCTTGTCAATGGTCTTGCCCGCCTAGAATATCGTGGATACGATAGCGCAGGTGAGTGCGCACGCCCTTGCTTCAAAGGTGGCGGCATTGCGGCACGGAGGGAGGGGCAGCTCACTGAAGAGGCCATCCTGCTGGACTCCATTTGGACGCAGGATGCGCGGTTGATGGCGACACGGAGAAAGATGTTCTCATCTTCAAGCAGGTTGGCAAGGTGGCCGCCCTACGCGAGCACATTGCCCAGGCCCCGGTAGACCTTGCCAAGACGTTCGCTTCACACATGGGCATGGCGCACACACGCTGGGCAACGCACGGACAACCGTCACCATTGAACTGTCACCCTCACCGATCGGACACCAAGAACGAATTCACTGTTGTACACAACGGCATCATCACCAATTACAAAGAGCTTAAACTCGTCCTGGAGAAGAAAGGCTTCCAGTTTGAAACCGAGACCGACACGGAGAGCGTCGCCAAGCTTTGCAAGTACCTCTACGATTCGGCTCAGGGACGTAAGCCGGACTTTACCTCGCTTGTCAAGAGCGTCATCAAGGAGCTCGAGGGAGCTTTCAGCTTTGTTTTCAAGAGCGTTCACTACCCTGGCGAGCTGGTCTGCGCCAGGCGCGGATCCCCCCTGCTTATCGGTGTCAAGACAGAGAAGAAGCTCAAGGTCGACTTTGTTGATGTCGAATTCGGCAACACCGCTGGAGCAGGCGACGCAGCATCGCACCTCGCCGACCCTAGCTTGCTGGCTCCACCCGGCATACAGCCCAGCAAGCCCGGCTCTGGCGGCCTGCAGGTGCCCAACGGCAACCCGAACCTGATGCGCACCCAGTCGCGCGCCTTCCTCAGCGAAGATGGCCTGCCGCAACCGATCGAGTACTTCGTCGCCTCGGACGCCAGCGCCATCATCGAGCACACCAAGCGTGTGCTCTACCTTGAAGATGACGACATTGCGCACATCAGCAAGGGCGAGCTGCACATCCACCGCCTGCGCCGCAACGATGGCTTGTCGAGCATGCGCTCCATTGAGACGCTGGAGATTGAGCTGGCAGAGATCATGAAGGGCCAGTTCGAGCACTTTATGCAAAAGGAGATCTACGAGCAGCCAGAGAGTGTCGTCAACACGATGCGCGGTCGCGTCAACTTTGACACCCGTCAGGTCAAGCTCGGCGGCCTGACCGCGTTCCTCAACACCATGAGGCGGTGCAGGAGGATCGTGTTTGTCGCCTGCGGTACCTCGTACCACTCGTGTCTCGCCACGCGTTCCATCTTTGAAGAGCTAACCGAGATCCCCGTATCGATCGAGCTCGCATCAGACTTTTTGGACCGCAAGACGCCCATCTTCCGAGATGACGTCTGCGTGTTTGTTTCCCAATCGGGCGAGACCGCGGACACGATCCTGGCACTGCGGTACTGCATGGAGAGGGGCGCGCTCTGCCTTGGTGTCGTTAACACAGTCGGCTCGACCATCTCCCGCGAGACACACTGCGGTGTCCACATCAACGCTGGGCCCGAGATCGGCGTCGCGTCGACCAAGGCGTACACGTCCCAGTATATTGCCCTGATCATGATGGCCGTGCAGCTCTCCGAGGACCGGATCAGCATGGCGGACAGGCGCAATGCCATCATCGACGGCCTGCACGATCTTCCCGGCCAGATCCGCAACGTGCTCGCGCAGGATAAGGCGCTGCAGAACCTGGCGTACAACACGCTCAGCAAGGAGAGGAGCTTGCTCATCATGGGCAGAGGGTACCAGCACGCTACTTGCCTCGAGGGAGCGCTCAAGATCAAGGAGGTGTGCTATATGCACTCCGAAGGCATCCTCGCTGGTGAACTCAAGCATGGCCCGCTCGCGCTGATCGACGAGTCCATGCCGGTCATTCGTAAGTTCTCGTCCATGTGTCCAGCCAAATGAAAACTGCTCGCGCGATATGCTGATGACCTCAACCTCGCACAGTGATCATGACAAAGGACTCGCTTTACCCCAAGGTTCATTCGGCGCTGATGCAAGTCACCGCGCGCAAAGGTCAGCCGATCATCATCTGTAACGACGACGACCAGGACATTGGCGCCGACGCCAAGACGATCCGCGTCCCGCGCACCGTCGACTGCTTGCAAGGCCTCTTGACTGTCATTCCGCTGCAATTGCTCTCGTACCATCTTGCGACCGCAGCTGGAGTCAATGTTGACTTCCCAAGTACGTGTTCGCGTCTCTTTTCCTTTTGGACGCATTCACACGTTCCTTCTTTAGTCCTTGCTGAGTTTGCTGACACCTCGTTCTATTCTCCTTAGGAAACTTGGCCAAATCAGTCACTGTCGAGTGAAAGCCGCGGCGGACATGCAGCATGGTCAGTTTTCTCGCTTTTCGGGAGCAGGGACGCACATGCCGTAATCATCAAGTCACACGGCAAGTTATCACGAGGTGGAAGAAGGCGGGGGGCGGAGTATAGCAAGTCAGCAGCCGATCAAACGTTTTCGTTTCTTCGAGCTGTATGCTTGGATCTTCCCAACGCGCCGATCAGCTAGCGTTGATCATGGACGTGGACAGCCCTGCATTGTGCATCGCGTTCGTTCTCCCTCTATCGTTTTGGCGCACGAGTAGCGAGCGAGAAAGCTCGGAACAGTTCCCAACAACAACTACATCATCAACAACATCGTCATCGGTGTGGAATGAGTATACGTCTCTGGTGTCGTTGGTTCTCGCAGGCGTGTGTACGCATAGAAACGAATGAATTTGAATGTAATTACTCTTTGATCGCTGTGGAGCGTTCGCCGCCGCGGTCTTCCACTGTCGAAAATGAGCGCCATGATATTTCCAGAGCGTCATGATATCTCTTTGCTGCCGACTTCTTTGACAGCTCTTGAGAATATCATTCTCATGGTTGCAACTTGCGAGTTGGAGGTAAAGAAGGAGCGATAAACGATAGGTTACTTATTCCCTCTCCAAGCTGAAGCCTGTTTGGGCCCTTGAGCCTCTGATTATAGGTTGGAGAGGGAGAAAAGAGATGATAGGGATACGTACGTAATCAACCAGACAGGTGGGAACTCGACTCGTGAGACCAAGTGTCGTTCGTAAACGCGTCAACATTTCCTTTCGCTGGTTCTCATCACCCCCATTCGGCATGTCCTTGGCTCTCCGCGCACCCTTTGAAACGGCCGATTCTTGCGCAGCAACTTTATCGTGCTCCATTTGCGACATTGCCTGCACATTGTACGCGTCGGTTATTTATTCCCCTTGCGTGTGAAACTACTTCGCATTCGACTGCTGCGCAGCGCGGACAGGAGAGCCATAATGATTCGCAGACCGCCTACGCGCATCACGATTTCGCAAAAGGAAGTTGACGAGGTCATCGCCAAGCGCAAGGAAGCCAGAGCAAGCGCAGGTAGGGCTGGCGAAGACTCGGAGATGAGCGACGCGCAGCAACAGCGGCCTGCTCTCCAAGGCGACTCCTCGGCGAACGATGCACCGTTAGGTGCATCTCTGCATCCTGCAGATGCGAGGGCCAGAGCACGAGAGCAGATGACTACTGCTCAGCGACTTGGAGCACAATGAAGCAAGTCAGGCATGCCGGGCTCAAGAAAGATAGCCCCCTATAACACCCCTATAGCAGATGGCTGCATTTCTCCCTATTCGCCGAGGTATGGAATGTGAACATACTCGCGCCATCGTCCATCCAAGCACAGCTTCCATCCGCATAAAGGAACGTTCAAGCGACTTCCTTCAACTTGCTCACACATTAAATTTCATTCTCAAAGCACGTGCTCCGGCCGCCCAGTTGCAGGGGGCCTAACATCTTTGCTGGCTGTGGTCGCCCACGAAGACAGCGTCTACGTCAGCATCTTGGAGATGCACCGAACAACCAGCATTGCCTCTTCACGACTACCAAGAGTCGCGGAGGCGGATTCTTATGAGACGACCATATCCTCCCGCATGGTGGCGCTGGTCTGTGTCTGCAAGGCGGGCCGTGCACTTAAGAGTCACTTTTTCCCTTCGGAACCAGCTATCCTGCTAAGATCAGGGCCGAACCTCGATAAGGCCTATCACATGGAACATTAAGAATGTCGCATGGTCGGTGTCCTCGGGCGAGCCGAATCAGGGGCATGCAACGGAGAATGTCGGCCATTTGCGACGCGGATAACGGCTGGCGCCGGGCGAAAAGTATTGTAATATCGCACCCTACGAGTAACGAGACACCTTGATGGAACTGCAAACCTGATAATCCATCTCATCCACCTTACCACATGCAAGACGTAGCGTTGGATGCCCTAAAATTGCCCTGGATATACCTGTTCCTACTCTCTCCTTATGCGCCAATGGCTTGCAGCGCTTTTACAAAACGTCAATCGACTCTGCGATGAGAGTCATCATATTTTTCGTTCTTCTCACCCCGACGTGAGAGAGAAGTTCACAAGCCGAAACGAGGTCCGTATGGCATAAAGTGTGTAGGGAGCGCCGAGGACGGGGGTGGCACATGTGTGGTGTGCAGGAGGATGGGTACATAGGGTTACGCATCGCCAGTTGTGCCGTTGATCTCGGGAGTGTCTACTAGTCTATGGCTGTGAAAAGATTCAAAAGAATAGAATGACGTATCTAAGCTTGAGGGCACACATGCAGGAGTTGACAGAAAAAGAAAGAAAGGGGCATGCAAGAAATACGTCACCGCGAGCTTGTGCAGTGCGCTCAGAGTAGACTGGCTTCGATCACTTTCCATTTCCTCGGAGATCGTGGAACGAAAAAAAGGTTGGTTTCTGCCTGCGGATGTTGTGGGCTGCAGCGGTAGCGACGGACATCCCCTCTGTGCAAGCAAGCTCATCAAGGTAGCCATTGGCCGGAGCACTGCTGGACACGGCTGCTCGCTGGCAAGAAGGCAATCCATTGACTGCGTCTGCTGCACGCCCAACTGACCCTTTCCCGATGCTCTTCCGACAGACAGCATCCGTGCGCTGTCGTCCAGCCTTCCTCGCCTCCTTCGTCACCGTGATGCGTGTGACCGCGTTCCATCCTCGGGCTTTCAAGTATCCTCGTTGCCCAGCCCCGCCCATCGACGATGAGACACGCGCTTCGCTCACGGACCCGGCTGGCTGAGCTCAACCCTTTTATGGCGCTCAACCCGGGGGCAGCGGAACTGTACAATCTGGCACAGTCTTTCAAATGTGTAGAAATGCATATGCCCTCGCGGCGCCCAATGGCTGTCATTGCGATGGTTTCCAAACGCCCTCCAGAGAAAGGCTGTGAAAAGTTCCTGGTGAGCCGTGCGGGTCCACGGAATGCATGTCACCGTGGCTCACTTTTGGGCAGGCAGCTCGGGACCTCTAGAGATGTGCCGAAACGAGAGGGTTTAGGTGCGAGTCACTTTCTGGACAAAGACTGCAGTGAGTTCGTTGGGGCTAGAGAGACATTGGCGGATTGCGATGAGATGCGTATGGCTATTATTTATTCAATGTGAAATGGGCGTTGCACACACAAGATATAGTCCGCATGTCAAACAAGAATGGAAGCTGAACCCGATCTCTGTTTCCTACACTTGCAAGGTGGCCGAACGCTTTGGCGGTCGCTCCTGATGACGACCGACAGTCGGCGGGCGGGTGAAGATGCAGAACTTTTGTCGACACTACACCTCCAGACTTCCAGACTGGTGTCTGATTCCGTCCGTGAGAGGTGCCACTGCGCTGCCTGCTCCTGCGCGGGCCCCGATGATGATGCAGACTCGCTAAGGCTGCGAGGACGTGCCGCCTTTCTGCTTGCTTGGTAATAATCCCATTGAGAGCCCTTGGACGGGGTGCTCGTCCAACCCGTCACATGGGACCCTCGTCATTATCAAACCACCATACACAGTTCGTACGTGTGCAAGAATGCATCTCATCATCGGTGCATCGCGCGTCGGGCTCCTTTCGTATATAAGCAAGCGATGCATCCAGCATATGCTTGTGCTGAGGATGTATGCCATACCATACCGCCGAAGCATATTGCATCCACGTGCATCCAACTATTCCGTGAGCAAGTGCACACTATACATCACAGAAGCACAACAGCCTACAGAGCACCTTATCGCCAAGCAACATTATGACAGGTTCCAATTCATCAGGCTGCGAGCCGCTCCTGCCCTCGCATCGAAGCCAAGAGCAATCCGCGAAAGACTACGGCGCGACTGCGCAGCAAAAGGAGAATCCTGCTGCAGGTCAAGCCAAACAGATCACTCAGCAAGCGCACCAGAGCCTGCAAAGGGCCAAACCCGACATCGAGTATGCTGTCGCTGCGCTTAAGGCTGGCAAACTTCCAAGTGAGTCATTTTCGCCATCCCTGCGTGCCACGGTGCTTTCTAGAGGCTGATTTGCATAATTTCTCGGGTGTAAAGGCACGGAGCAGTTGAGCAAGTGGGTGGACTACCTTCAGTCCACCTCTATCTTCCAGACTGGCCCATACAACAAGACCGGTGCGCTCTCCGAAGAAGGCGAACGAATCATCTCCGACTTTAAAAATGTTCTTTACCAGCTCAAGCAGCTCGCAGAGCTCAAGAATGACGATGACAAGTTTCAGAGGTTCATGTACCACTCGTCGCAAGCGTCGATCGCTACGGACCTGTCCGACCCATCAGCTTTCACACCCAGCCAACGCCAGCTCCGCAAGGACAGCGAGCGCGCCGTCAACGCTCTCCGCAAGCTTGGTTGGCTCATCGTGACCGACGAGGCTTTCAACCACATCATTGCTGATCTGTTCTTTGCCAGCAGGGAGCTGCTCGCCGACGCTGCGAGCGTCGCGTCGGACAAGATCCGTGAAGTCAGCGAGCGCGCCAGGCCTTCTGAGAGTGCCAAGTCTGCCAGCGGAGTCGAGAAGCGCGACACCGCCCTCGGCATCGGCCACGGCCGCATGTCCAGCGAGAGTGAGGAGAACACCAAGCAGAAGGGCAGGGTTAGCGGCCTCAATGTTGACGCTGACAAGCTCAAGCGCGACGTCAAGGACCTGGCGAGCAACGCCAAGAAGTGGATCGAGGAGCGCACTGGCTCATCAGAGGACGCCAAGGACGACCTCATTGAGCGCCTCAAGAAGACTATCATCTCCATCCAGGAGCATGAAGAGTACCAGGAGTCTGTCGATGTGCTCATCGACCTCATCAAAAAGTACGGCAAGGAGGTCAAGTCCGCTGCTGAACAGGCCAAGGAGGATGGAAAGGAGAAGATCAACGCCAACGACCACGTCGACAAGGCGGCGCGCAACTTGAAAGCCATAGTCGAGGCTTTTGCAAACGGAAAGTGCCTCGACCCCGTCCTAGATGCCTTCAAACAGGTCGCAGAGGACATCCGTAAAGACGGCCGCCTCTCAGCATACTTCTCCGAGGTCAGCCATTTCATCGAGCGCTGCCTCAAAGATTCGGGCTACGTTACCACTTCTAAGGCGTCTCGACGCATCGACAGTCTCTACGACCGCGCGCAGGAGTTGCAAAACTCGAACTCCGACTGGAAGAAAGACGCGCAGAACCTCAGCGAGAGGCTGCAAGAGTTCAGCGAGGCGCTGTGCAGCGACGAAGACAGCTGCGGACTTCTCGTCGCGTTCCAGAAGCTCGGCGCCGACCTCGAGACGCTCGCTGAGCAGACAGTCAAGCTGCTGCAAGGCCAAGCGCATGGTTTGTACCGAGACATTGCCGATGTCTGGCTGCCCCGCGTCCTTTCGAGCATCAGCCATGTCCCGCTACCCAAGATCGAGTTCAAGAGCGCCGATGTCGACGTCATTGTAGATGGCATTAACCTCGCGGCAAGCTCTGGCAACTTCATCCCGGACCGTATCCAAATCCTCAACAGGAACGAGGTGCAGCTGCACAACGGCTATGCTGCATTTGCTACCACGTTTGACAGCGAGATCACCGTTCGTGTCGAGGGTCTGCGCATCATGGCTTCCGACGTTGCCTTCTACATCCACCGCAAGAACGCCTACTTCCACCGTCGCGATTGGGGCCTGCTCTCGCTCGACGCCAGCAGCCCTAAGGGCATTTCTCTCATGATCCATCTCGAGAACGCCAAACCCGAAGATCGCGAGTCGTACATGAAAGTCAAGAAGGTGGACGTCGACATTTCGCAGCTAAACATTAGTGTGCGCCAGTCGCACCACCCTATCCAGAACTTCCTCTTCATCCCTCTCGCGCGCCCTGCGCTGCGCACGATCATCGGCAAGCTGCTCGAGGAGCAGATATCCTCTGCTCTCGAAGACTCCGATAAGCAGCTCTTCGCCATGCATGAGCGCAGCGTCGCCCTCTCCAAGTACTCTGGCGCTGCATTCAACCCTTTCTCCTCTGCACCCGGCGGCGGCGGGACCCCGTCCATCACCGGCTACTTCAACGCCCTCTTCGGCAGTGGCATCAACCCCTTCAGCCTCGGTTCCGGAGGTAGCTCTTCCGTCTCGGTCGGCAAGCGCGGCATCGTCAAAAAGGGCAGGAGCGGCGAGTGGCTGCTCGCCATCGGCTCGCCTCAGCCGATCATCGATGCCGACGCCGGCCCCAAGGGTTGGGCAGAAAAGCACAGGCGAGAAGCAGAGGAGGCAAAGAGGAAGTTCGAAATGCTCACCAGCAAGGGAAAAGCTGAGCTCCGCAAGTCGGCCGCCGAGACGGATGCCAAGGCAAGCGAGATGGCCAAAGAGGACGACTGGAGGAGCGATGCTTTCGACATCCCCGTCTGAAGGACGTCCTCCTCACCTCATACTTTCTTTACGCAGCATTAAGCCTAGCCTCTGTTCCGGTGTCTTGGGAATCTGCGTGGATTCGTCAATAATAGTAGGGCAATACCAAGCTAGTTGTACCACGCTCGCATCTCGTGTACTGTATCAACGTTGCAATTGTTCGAATTTCCTACACATTTACAATCGACTACTGCAAGCGCTCTTTCCGCAGGTCGCCAAGCGCATGCCGTCCTGTGAGCAGCGTCGCCACACCGCCGACGAGAAGCCATGGGATCATCTTAAAGAGCGTCATCGAAGGCCCACCGAGCCAGTACCTGGCAGCGAGTAGCTCGAGGTAGATGAGTGAGATGAGCAGGGGCGCACGCTTGGCTGTCAGCGAGGAGATTTGCAATGGTAATGAGCGGAGCTGGGTAGCGTGGAGCAAGAAGAGTCAGCGTCTGATACTAGGATTGTTGGATGAAAAGAGGTAGGTTATTCACCAGCATAAGCAGGACAAGCCATGGTGCAGCGACTGTACCGATGGCAACTGCCAAGCTGACAATGCGGGGCGGCATGGTCTCGCTCGCTGGAACTCCGAACGTGTGCCACCTCTCCTCCCATCCATGGAATCCCTGCTCCTTCTCCTGTGTACGTCGTGCTGATGGCAATTCGTCTGGGCTGCGACGCAGGACAGCTGGGAGCGCTAGCTCCGTAATCGGGTACGCGAGCGGCTCGGTCGACTCGCCAAAGCTTCCTACCAGCAGCATCAGGGCGAGCTTCCCGGACGAGCTCAGAATGTCCGCAGGCAGACGGTCCATTCGCTGCATGAGGACGGGAACAAGGTCATGCGGTGAGTGTGAAGGAGCTGGGGAAGGGAATGTCCCGTTCACGAATGCTCTACTTACCAAGCTGTAGGTAGCCTTGCCGGTATTCTTCTTGACCGGCAGCACCGTAGTGTCTTGTACGGCAGGGTTGTCCAAATCAGAGAGGACCATGAAGACCTGGTGCGGCGGTCGTTGCTTCTCCTCTACGCTCTGCGAGGGATCTTTGACTTTGAATACCACGCGGAGGATCTCATCGGCATCGAGCGTTAGCGGTTGCGCGACGTCGATTGGAGATGACGACGAGAATCTGTTGTCGGGCCAGGTAACAAAGCAAGTGTTAAGTGTTAGCAACGCGTCCTTCCAGACGAACATGAAGACGAATCCATTCGTTCATCTCCCCCGCGTTTTCAGATATGAAAAGTCATGCTCACGTCTTGGATATGCGTGATGAACCGTCGATGGACGAGACGGACAGCTTGCCGTCGTGCACCCTGAAGCTCACGCCGAAAGCCGAAAGCGCGAACATCAGTAGCGTCAGCGCTGCAGCCAGCAAGCTGGGCGTCATCGTCTTTCGTAGCGAGGACATCCTTGTGTCACCTTGCCTCTGATAGGTCCCTTCCGCAATCAACGATATCCAATCAGCAGAAGAAAGCCAACGGCATCATGTATGTCTGTCCTTAGGAAGCATGGGGCATGGCATATGTGAAGAGCGACCGCCGCTGGCTTAGACTGTGGTTTGTGACGATGGCAGTTAGACTGTCAGAAGCAGGCACTAGCGAGCACTCCGGGACCTTCACTTGTCGAGAAGAATTCTCGGCCGAGACGGAGGCGGGCACGCCTACAAACGCGAGCATCAGTCTCCTCAGTCCTTGCGCCATACTCTGGTTGACCCGGACTAGGCTTGTGCCAAGCTCGACCCATCGTCTTCGTTCGCGTTGTGTCAATCTCGGACACGTTCAGTCCGCCAGTCACAAGACCGGGCTGACACCTTAGAGCAGCTACACGTTGGCGGTCACGTATGGTGGACGTTTGGTGCTGGGGGGCGCGACTGGGACAGTGACTCGGCCCTCAACCGAAATTGCACGATCATTCGCCTCACACACGACTTTCCATCATTCCGACAAGGTGATCAATGCCTTCATTCTTGCAAAGTGCTTAAAAGCGAACACGATGACAGGCAGTCCTAGACAATTTTTCGGCATCAAATCTGTTGAGAGGTACCTACATGTCTTTAAGTGGCACGTTATCAAGCGAGTCAAGGCAAGTGCTGCGTAGCCACCCATTCCGCTACGGTGACGTGCTATTTGCTCCTGACCACGAGGACGACGGCTTTGCAGCGACCTGAAGCGACTGTTTATCCACCACAAATCACTCTGCACCGCTTGGCGCACCTGGAAATTGTGAATTATGATGCATGCATAGCAACGCAAGGCCTTCCCCTACGCTCTGACGCTTGGGAGACCTTGTTTACTTTGCCGCTCATTGCCAAGGCAGCGGTAGCGCCGGTCAGCAGCAACCAAGTAGACTGCACATGTGCGAGCTAATGTTGAACGCTGAACGGTCTAGAACGAGAAATACCCAAGTTTGCGAATGGCTGGTTGACCCTGGTCGAATATCCTGTCGATTCAAGCTGCCCTCCCATATATATAGCATTCGTTTCGCACAATACCCGAGAGTGCACCTGTGCGATCTGTACACAGGCCAGATGCCTGTACGCTGATTGCCACAGCGCACCGCTTGCTTCGAGAGCAAAAAGCTCTGATCATAAAGCAGGAACGGTTTCGGAATGTATCCAAAATGCGATGACACGTTACACGCATGTTGATGCAAGGCGACGCTCACTTCTCTTCACAGGTGCAAAATTTCCAGGGTGCATTGAACAGCTCGGAAGATACAAGCGATGGGACGGCAGCTGATGCGCTGGTGCGCTGATGGGATATGTGAAATCTGCATGTGTAGTGCAGATCATGCGATCATGTTTGTGGCTATGTATCAAATGTACTGCACCTGAATGATCAAGCGCTAGAGCACTGCTGGGGCATGTCTGGAACAGAACCTGCCTGTGGTGTCCCTTCGGGAAAGCACAGAAGCCCAAAATGCAAGAAATAGACGAGTGATTTAGAGGCTTCGGACGGGTACACCTAAGACCCCGCACAAAACGCCAGCGGCTCGCTGCGCGAGCCTCTTGGACACCAGTGTCACAATGCAAGGCTTCGAGGCCTGCCCTGGCCTGCCATCCGGGCCATCTGGCCTCCAGGGTTGTCGGGCGATATGACTTGCAAGACGCGAAAGGACGCGGATCGGACAGCTCGGTCTTGTTAAATAGCTTCGCCTGAGTAAGCTTCCTAGCCTTTTATTTCATAGCCTCAGATCATGCTTCAACATTCAAGTTCAAGGTTCAACAAGGGGCCCGACCTGGTTTGGTAGGGGAAGATCGCCCCTGTTCAGTGCAATCAGCGCGCCACAGTGGTTGAGGGCTGAAGCTACAAGACAAAAAAGAGCGGTTTGCTCCGGAAAAGTCCACCGGCCATTCACTGTGTATGTTTGGACACATGGGATATAGCGTCCAGGTGTCTGGCGTGACGCTGTCCGTTTGCCAGCTGCTGCCCACTGAGGCGCTTCTCAGAGAATGCTACAGGCAGAGAGTGCTACATCTTATGAACACGGCAATAATTAACCTGTGCGAATATCTGATGCTGACTTCTGTCAGTCATAACGGAGCCGTGGAGTGGCGGAGTCCAACAGAGTGCAATTCTGGAATAATGAATTTGGATGAGGCAGCGTCGCTCATCCCGCGGGCAAAGAGATGTCGTGATTTTCCTGTGCGATGTGTCGCGGTTCAGATGTTCAGACATTTATGGACTGGTGGGCCGAAAGGATACAACGACCTGATGACAGCTCTACTGCTCCCTAAAGATTGCAGCTTTACGGTCTTGCCAAGCCTAGCAGTCTATTTTATTGTCCTCAACGCGCTACATATGTATTACTGTACATTGCAGCATCCTCACGGGCGTCCTGAGGCTCTGGGCTCTGCCGGGCTTCATGATACATCGCATATCTCCCCCCGCGGTCTGTTGCCGTCTGTCTGTTACGGCCTGGACAGATGGGTTTACAATATACACCGTGGGTTAGAATTATGGCACGAAAGCAGAGTGACGCGTGAAGAAGGACGCCTGATGAGCGTCTGAGTGCCTAGGGCTTCGGGGAAGCCGGACAGAGCGCCTGTGGCTTGACTCACTGCACCTTGGCGGAGATCTTGAGGGTTCGGAGCCGACCTATGGAGGGCCCTTTGGGCGTATCCATCCCCCTGAATAGACTCGGAGCATCCGAGAGAGAGGAAGCGGCGTGGCGTCACTTTGTGGCTTTATTCGCGCCCTATCCGTAGGCGCGAATTTCTTCCATCTAGGATGTGGGTGAAGAGTATGTATATATGGGCGGGCCTTGGGTCCTTTCGTCCATGCGCGACCTCTATCGCTCTGCCCCCCTTCCCCCCCAATCCCCAGATCAATACACGCTCTCGTCGAGGTTTGCTTGGAACTCTACTAAAGTCACCGCTGGCCGGTCTCAACGCAGCTTTTACCCTCTTATACACAGTCCCACCCTCAGCAACCTCACCGCACCGCCACCTGTCTGCATGCCTCTGCTCGTGGCGCTGGAAATCGATACATCACCCATTCCTGCATACTTTCACCACTGCGCAACATGCTTGTCACCTCCTCCGGCCTCCTCAGCGTCGCCGCTCTGCTCTCCGTCACCAGCAGCGTCAGCGCTTACTCGGACCTTTATGTAAACTTTCCAGGACAGCTTGTGGCCCGCAAGTTCGAGCTCGCTGAGCAGTATTACAACCTGTTCGTCGCGCGTGGCAACGAGCACAAGGTCCACGAAGGCGTCGACAAGCTCCACGGCGAGCACAAGGAGCACAAGAGGGATAACAAAGAGGACAATGAGGAAAGCCAGAAGAAGGGCAAAGAGAGTGAAAAGGACAAGAAGAAAACAAAAAAGCACAAGAAACATAACATGGAGAAGGAGGAGACGCTCAAGCTGGAGGAAGACCAGAAGAACTCCCATCACAAGGAGCACCATGGAAAGGAGCATCACGGCAAGAAGCACCATGAAAAGGAGCATCACGGCAAGAAGCACCATGAAAAGGAGCACCATGGAAAGGAGCACCACGGTAGACAGCAACTCGCACAACAGCCTCAGCAATTATTCATGACGCAGCCTCAGCAACGCGCGGCAGTCGAAGCAAACGGGCAAACGTCTCGGCCTGCGTCTAGTCGGCCTGAGGACAAAGAAATCCCGCACACGCACATTTCGGCGCTGAAGGCGTACCAGAAGGACGGCGAGCACAGCAAGGGCAACTATCATGTCTTGTGCTTTGCCAATGGCGAGGCGCGCTCGTGGGCCTTCAAGGACGGCGAGGTCGTCGCTGGCAAATACCGAGGCGCGTCGCATCTCACTCATGGCGATGACCCCAAGAAGCCTGCTGCTGATGCGACGAAGAAGGACGACAAAGATGAGAAGCCGGCGGCGGCGACGGACGATGCTGCAATGATCACGACGGTGGACAAGGCCAAAGCAGCAACAGGGGAGAACAAACCTGCAGCTGCCAAGCCGGCCGACGACAAGAAAGCGGTTGCGGACCCACACGCTGCGGACGGCCACCCACCGGTGTGCATCGCGTTCAAGATGGACGACGAACAAGCCGGGCCAGAGCCGGGCCAGTCGGTGACGACAACAGACAAAAATGCAGGTGCAGTGGCCAAAGAGGCAGATGACAAGAAGCCTAAGACGGACAGCAAGGTAGTCCCAGTGCAGCACGTGCTGCAGCGCGGGCATCACAACAGCTCGTTTGACGGTCTGCTGCCGCGCCAGGTCGACCTCTCCGGATCGACGGTATACTTTGACTAGACAAGGGCATGTTCCGCGAAACTCTTCATCTTTACCTGCGTTCATTCGCTCTGCTTTTTTGCTTTTTGCTTGTTTTTGTAACGGGTAGCATGGTTCCTGTAATTATTTCTCTATTTCCAAAACGGATCTTACTTTGCAGCTCACTCAAAGCCAACCCGGTCGTACTATCTGGTGTTCAACCAAGCTGGTTCTTCAAAGGATGTTGGTAGTAATAAAGTACATTGGCAAAGTACATTGATGTCGAATTTTCGGTTGGTCTCCTCAGCGGCTGTGCACTTTCCCATCCGCCGCATCCTGCAAGTACGCTGAGATCGCCGCAAGGTCGTCTCCGTTCGTCTTATGCAGGTACGCCGAGAGCATGTTGCGGTCTGCGTCGGGTAGAACGTCCGCGATCTTGTCGAGCGCCTCTTTGAAGCCGGGGTCGTCGTTGCTTGGTGAGTACGACTTGCCGCGTACGCTGCCATAGCTCAGAGAGCTGCGCGCTCCTTTGCTGAGGCTACCACTGATGCTGTTGGCGCCGTAAGGGGGCGGCACGAGCGCATTGAGGCTGTGATCTGAGTCACCGTTCAAGGCAGCAGTGCCGCGCAAGCCAGGTGAACGTGGTATGTCCGAGTACATCGAGCCCGCTGCCGATGGCGGCGACATCGACGTGATTGGCGATGGCGGGGCCTGTTCTACCCGTTGAATATACGCAGTGCGCATGACAGCCGACTTTGTCGGGCTCGGGCTTCGACCGCTTCTTGGCACCCGTGGTCCAGCCACGGGCATGGTCCCTGTTCGGCTTGGGTTGTGCTGCTGCTGCAGTGGCGCCGGCTGATCGCGCTGAGACATGTTGAGCAGATTGCTAGCACTCATGTGGCCATGCTGACCAAGCAGGACGACTGGACCCGAAGGGGAAGAGATCGTCGGCTTCGATCCTCCGCGAATACCGCCAGGTATTGTTTTCGAGAGAGGAAGTAGACCAGCAGGATATGACTCGGATCGTCGGCTGGCTCGCCGTGTGAGTCCGCCCAAGAAGCCGCCGGCACCAGACATGTTGGACGGCGTTTGCCGGACCCTCTCACTGTTCTCAAATGAAGGACGCTCCATGGAGCTCCTTGTTGCAGTGCCGTAGTCTTGCTGCATGACTCCCGGATAGGGAATGTTGGTGGGTATCTCGCTGACACTAGATAAGGAAACAGTGGGAACGCTGGTGATCTCCTTGGCCTTGCCACCATCACCGCGCATGGGGAAGGTCATGTCCGAACGGATGGAAGCTGCATATGATGCTTCTTGGCGTGCTTGCCGTCTGTACGAGTGGGCACTGTTTGCCGCTTCATATAAATCATTGTCAGCAACGAGCAGATACTCCAGCTCGAAGAGCCAGGGCACTCACCAAGTTTTGCTGTCGGCCTGTTCTTAACCTCAACCCATGTAGCCAGATTGGTTGGGGTCGTGAGCAATTGGTTCGTTGCGATGGCATACAGCTTGGCCCGATCCCAAGCGGCATTGCGCTTCTTCTCGATGATTTTGGAGGAATCGAATGCGGCCGGCCACGGCAAGGTCTTCCCGTAGATCTCAATTCGGCCCACCGTGACCAGGGGCGTAGGGTACACAGGTTGCTCGGCAAAGTGGCTGTCGACAGCGAGAGATGGGCCACCCATCGGCCCTAGTCGGAAATCGAATGCCGGGACGTGCTCGATGCGTGGCGTCACAGAATTGCTGTGGGTGTTACCGGAGAATGATGGTTGGGAGCTGCTCGTCTGGGGCAGTTGCGCCAGCGAGGACTGACGTGGGGTCAATACACCGCGCGAAGCGGTTGGGCTGTGTTGCGTCTGCGGTGCTGCGCATCCCTGGCTGACAGCTTCAACTGTGGAACCAAAGCTGATGTCATTCATCGAGGCGCTGACTGCAGCTTGCAGGTCCTTAATCCCTGAAATAGGTGACACAGTCTGCTTCTGCGGCAAGACAGGCGAGACTTGGCCCTTACGCTTATCACGCAAGCTTGTGGACAACGCCCCGTTCTCCGCCGATCGCGAAGGTATCGAATCCAGCGTCAAACCACCAGAGCCGGGTTGCGAGCTGCCTTCGAGCACAGCGCGTGAATTCTGGATCGGCATTTCGGACGAGTGATGCAACATGGACGTCGAATTCACCACTTGCGATTCCGCCGTCCCCCGCCGCGGATCGCGCTTGGGTCGCATCTGCGGCGAAACTGCCGCCACGACCTCAGGTGTGCCTTCTGGTAGCGCAGCCTGTTGCTGCCGCAAGCGAGCCCGTTCACGTGCCAAAGCGCGGGCTTCTTGTAGCGTCCGCGGTCTCGATGGATCCATTTCGTCTGCTTCTTTCTCGAGACGCGCTTCGAGTTGAGCCTGCTGCTCGGCTGTCAGATCGCCATCCGATGGTGCCGAGGAGAACTCAGAAGGGGCGGATATCTCCATCTTATCCTCGAGATAGTCGCCAACTGCGGTGGTAATGAGTGTCGATGAAGGACGTTGGGGACCCACAGGGAGTTGGTTGTCGGATCCTTCGCGTAGCCGGTTTCGCCGCGGTGGTCTCTGAAGAGTCTCTTCGTGCGCGTCAGATCCATAATCTGACGAATCGGAGGCGTCGATTCCACCGCTGGTTCGCTCTTGCCCCTGCTCGAGACGTACTGCTGTGGTTGCTCTTGGTGCCGCTGATGGCGCGGACGTCAACGTCGTTGTCAAAGCTGAGGCTGTGTTTGATGCGCTAATGGCAACGCTGCTCTCGAGCATCGCGGGGTCCACGCCCCCCATTTTGGGATCAAGGTGTCCCAAGTCGTCTGAACCACCTGAATCTGATCGAGAAGGGATAATGACACTGCCCGCATCCATGTACACATCCTCGAATGGTATTGCCTGCGCGAGCGGCGAGGCAGCTTTCAATGGGACATGGTGCGCGGCAGTGCTCGAGGGGGGATCGACGACCGAGGTTGAGGCATCAGCAGTACGAGTAGCAGCAGGAGGCACGCCTCCCTGAAAGGAGCTGCTGACCCTATGGGGAATGTGCGGCGCCTCTTGCGATGCGGAAAAGGCGTCGCTAGCTCCATCTGTCTCCTTGTCTGTGCCTTCGGCTGCAGAATCGCTAGTGCTAGCAGGGGGTGCCGGAGCATTGATGTCAGTGATGGCTTTGGCCTGGTAAACAGCTGGGATCTCGTAGTAAGAAGGCGAACCCGCAGGAGCCACTGGCGCTGTGGTCCCCGGTGCCGTTGTCGTAGAGAAGGGGTCATACACCTCGGCAAGCATGCACGAACGCTGAGATATCTTGTGCTGCTCCGACGAATCAGCAGCGGCAGACCCTAATGTCAATGATCGTATTGTCGAAGGCTTCGCTGCGGCTCGCTTCGGATCATCGATGTCATTGTTTCCATCAGTCAGCTCAAACTGATCTTGGTACTGGGACCACATGGCATGTGCACTATCCTCCGAGACGGGATAGATGTCCGATCCGGACGCCGGGCGCTTCTGCGGATGAGCAATGCCTAGCTCGGGCAGCTGCTGCACGGCAGCAATGGAGAGACTTGCAGGATCGACGATGCCGTCATCTCTTTTGGAGGGTGACGATGTGGTCTTTGAAGTCGTCGCGACATTCTTAATATCTGAGGCCACATTGACTGTAGAGGAGGAAGATCCTGCTTCAGTGAGGGATGTTGCGCCTGCCCTCGCAGCGAACGACGCACTTGCGTCCTCTGACTGAGCCGATGTCGCGGAGTCCTGCTCGTTTAGCGAATGCGAGACTGGTGCAGCAACGCCAGAGCCAAAATTGTTGGTGCTCGAGCGCGAGCGCGGTGAAGGAAGAGGGGGCTGAGTGAAGCCGAACGGGGCCTGTGGACTCCCACAGCTACCGCCTCCTCCCGTCGCATGGGTATTGCTGTTGTTCGTATTCATCATCGGATGGGCCCGAATAGACGGAGAGCCTTGGACGTAATTTGGCCGTCGCGACGACGATTTTCCTGCTCCTGCATTCACTGCCCCAGCCAACGGCCATGATCCCGTCCCAGTCATTAGACCTGCCCCCCCTGCAGCCGCGCTCGAGTCACTCGTCTTGCACGCTCGTACCCCATTGTCCGCATACGAAGGCCAGATATCACTGCGCGTTGGTCCAGATGCGGGAGCTAAGGCCGGCACAGTAGCCTGGTTGCCATCTGCGCAGGCATCTACAACAACCTGCCCGATCGGCACGGACATTTTTTGGTCTCTTTGCGCAGACTCCGACGCATCGGCCGGTGGCGGCATCGGCGTAGACTCGCTGCTTTGGTGCCCTTGGCGCAGCGACTCTCCCGACGAGCTTGTCACAGTCGGTTGACCGGGCGAGGCGCTGAGCGAAGCGCTGCACCTGGCATCGGACGTCGGCGAGCGAGTGTATAGGTCGAGAATCGACCCTGGCGAGATGGGCGCTGAGGTGCGATAGTCGGTTGAAGTGATTGGCGAAACGCTGATCCGCAAGGATCGACTCATGCCAGCAGCTTTTCTGTTGGGCGCTCCGTCTGTTGTGCCGCTATTGTTGATGCTGTTAGCAAATTCCTGACCTGTGCTCGATGCCGAGGAAGGAAAAGAGTCATCGAAGGAGCCTGCCATGCCAAGTCCAAAAGCAACTTGTCAGGACGGGTAGGTGGGATGTCTTTTCTTTCGCTGAGGCGCCTGTCATTAGGTCGAATCTGACACTCGCTCACCTGGGATGAGTGGGGTTGGTGATTCTTGCACAAATTCTTGCGCGTCCGGAGGCTGAACTTGCAGGGCCAGCTTGCCAGTAGCGGCGCCGGAAGCGACGGCCGAGGAAGTAGTCGTCATTAGGAGTGTATCGTCTACCAATCTCCAGCTTGAATGGGCGTTTCACGGGAGCCTACAAGGGCATCGTAAGCCGACAGCCCAGTCTATGCGGGTGCGGTGCGGTGCGGGGAAGGCGTCTGGCCGTCAAATGCTCAATTTGACTGATCAATCAAAGCAGGCATGTACGAGTGGCATGTCCGGGCCATGGCGTGACCAGCGAGAGCGAACGTCCTCACGCACAACCGATGATGCCGGCGTATACCTGACCTCTGCGCCGCCTCAGTGCGCATACAGCGTCGTCCTCCGTCCTGGTTGAACCAAGCCGAGTGGATGACATGTATGTGATTGGAATGCTAAATGGATTGATGGTTGATAGATTGTTGCAATCAAGCCAGGGCCCGCCGCTGGAGCCCTTGCCTCTCACACAACAGCAGGTGAGCGCGGCGCCACAGCAGTGCGCTCGGTTTGAGTTGTGGGCGCACGGGGCGCACACCTTAACACCAAAGCGCGACTTTAGCTAGGAGAAAAGCCAAACCTGCTTGTGATGCGTACAAGAGGAGACAACAGCAGGCGCAGGCGCTACTTACACGCGCAGTCGGTAGCCCACAGAAGAGGCATGCAAGCTGGTCTTGCTCTCATCCAAAACGGCGACAGAAAGGAGAAATGGCGGTGCACAGCTCGATCGCGTCTAAGTTCTCCCTCTCCTGCGCCGCGCTGCTGACAGGCAAGCAGCCATGGCTAGAGGGGGCGAACAAGTACTACTACAGCAGCGATGACGGCACCGCCGCTGATCCACATGGTCCGGCGCAGGAAAAGCATGAGCCAGCAGGCGCTATGTCATCGTCTTCCTCTTTTACGCCAGGGAGCAGCGCAAATGCACTGCTCGCCAAGCGCCGAGAAAGGTGGTTCGCCGATTTGCTTTGCCTCCCCGTCGAACCGTCGGCTTTAAGGGAGCCGCTGACCGCCACGGTTCCCATCCGAGTGCTTCTCGATGAAGAGCCTGGCAGCAAAGGCGAACAGATCAGAACAAACATCCGGCATCTCTGGCAGTACTCGCTGAAGGCGTGGAACGATCGAGATGAGGCTCGTCATCACAATGCGCTGCAGGTGAGTGATGTGGATGCATGTGTCATCCCTAGTTGCCAGCTTACGAGTCACTTTTGTGCACCGAAGATCCTTGTCTATCTCTCGGACATAGTCTTGTCCAAATCGCTGTCGGCACTCTCCATCATCTCGATCCTCTGCTCCAGCGTGACGAATGCCGATGCTGACCTCCTCGCTTTGGTCGAGACCATTCGGCTGTCCCTGCAGCGATGCTGCCCTCGTTCATCCCCAAAATTCATCTCGGACGGAAGCGACACGGACGAACGACGTGCCGAATTGTTACTTACGCTCAAACTGATCATTGTCTGGACCGCCAGAGCGGGTCAAACGAGCCTGTCCAGTGCCTTTTTCCGCAGAGACCTCTTTCCCTCTCTGTCCGCTGTTCTCTCCGCCGTCAGTACCTCTACCTTCGAGCCTAACACACTGAAGCCAGGTAGAGAGAATGGAGCCGAGTACATTACTCCATCGCCGCCGTGGCTGCGCGAAGTCAAAATTAAAACGTCGCTCTGTCTCACGCTGCTATGCACCAGCTCCCTGCCGCTCACAAGGCGATTGGGTGAGATCGAATACGACGCCGTCTTTTCCGGGAATCCTTACGCGCGTCGCCTAGCCGACTGGGTCGACGTGGCAAGCATGTCGGCTGGTATCTGTGAGGCATCTGCCGAAGTGTGGGAACAGGGTGTCATTGCTGCATATGAGCAGCGCGGCGAGCAGGAAACGCAGCATGCAAGCGGCCTGAGCAGCTTGTGGGGTCTTGGGGCGATTTTTAGCAGGCAGAGCAACGTTCCGGCTGTCGACGGAGTTCCAGCAGGGAAAAGTAACGGGAGAGCTTGTGAGACGAAAACTTTGTAGGTGTTGTAAACAAGGCATCTTCCTTAGGCGGGCGAGGCGAACTGACTGACTGGCATACCTATTTGCGTACAGACCGGCTCCCAGTGTCTGCACGCTGTTGCCCATTCTTCTTCTGAGCCACCTGAACGGCGCTTTTGTCGGCGCCCTCACAAACGGCAAAGCAGACGGCGGTTTAGCCTCTGCATCCACCGGAGGCGTGCCCACTCTGCCGTCTATCGCTCCGCATCTCTCGCTGCTCAGCATGTCGACCTTTCTGCATGCGAACGCAGCGGCCGATGCGCGCTCCGCAGCATGCGCACGCCTCTCACTTGCCACGCTGCTTTCCCTCGTTCAGTGCGCGCGAGCCGAGTCGCTCCTGCGGCCGCTAGAGACCCACGAGCTGCAGCGCATGCGCATCTGCCTGCACCGACACACGGGCGGTATCGTGCCTGCCAGCTCAATGGCCCTGGCCACTAGCATATTCAAGCGTGCGGTCGCCGCGCCGCCGCAGACGAGCATGCACTACATCCTGCTGAACGCCAGCATCTTTCTGCGCAACAATCTCAGCAGGCGGCTCAACGGGGAGGGGTATCTCCTGGCTCTGCGCCTCGTCTCGCACGCGCTCGCGCTGTTGGCCACCACGCGCACGATGCTCGATCTAGACTGGTCCGCGCACTGGCATGCGCTGCTGTCCTTCGCATCCTTCCTCGCATCTAGAATTGGCGAGCTCGAGGCGCAGTACCAAGATGCGGCGCGGCGGGCAGGAAAGCAGCTGCTGTGCACTCTCAGCGCCGCACTACTCGAATCCGATCGGTTCCTCCCTTCGCCCAAGGAGGTGCATCAGTTGATCTACGAGGTGGTTCGCTCGGGCGCCATGCTGCGGAGGCTCGCTGCAGCGCTGGTACCCCATTTGGTCGCCGGCTCCTCGCCTACTGATGCACGCGCGCCTCCATCTTCTGCTGGGGAGACGAATTCCGACAGCGGTCCATTGACGCCGATGCCGGTGACCCCGACTCCGCATAGCGCCGCGTCCTTTCTCTCCTTCACCGATTTCTTAGCGTCGAGCCCGCCTTTGCCGCAAAAAGCATACGTCGAGCTGCCCGGTTGGAAGGTGCTAGAGTTGGTTATTAAGACCGTAGAGGCCAAATTGCAGCAGCAAGGAGATGCGAACAGCAGCGCCGTAGGACCTGCGGACCCTCCTGTCGCGTCCGGGTTGAGCGTCAAGACTGTGCTCTCGGCGATTGCTAAGCTCAATCTGGATGTCTTGCTTGCTGGTGCCAGCGTCGAGGAACTCCGGGTGGAGGATGGCAGCGGGCGCCGACTGGCCGGTATGGATGCGGACAAATCGGGCAGGCGGACAGGCCGTTATTATGGCGGCGGAAGCAATGGAGACGTTAGCACAGGCAGTCAGCACAATGAATACCTGTCGGCCAATAGTAGCGCTGCGCCGAGTCGCACTGCTTCACCAGCTCCAAGCTTTGGTGATGGGTATGCCAGCGCCGGCTCGGGCGGCAACAGCAGCGGGGCGCATACTGGCTTACTCGCTGTGGTCAAGCTTTGCGCTGCTGATGCACTAACACTGTAATAGGGGTATATGCTTGCAATCTATGTACATGATTGGAGTGTATAGGCTCGGTCTGTATGTGCGTGCGCACCGTCTGTCATTTCCACATTATCTGATATGGTATATTGGCAGCTTATTGATCTCGCAGCTGCATCAACACGGGCGCACGCCCACCTTGCCACCGTGCACTAGGATGTCAACGCACTGGCGCCATTGGACAAACCAACTGTAGCCTTTATAATGCTGTATGCCGAGCTCGTGGGATGGCAGCGTAACGTGGTACTTGAGCGCTTTAAGAGGGGAGACGAAAGGGAGGAGCAGACAATGGAGGTGCAGGTGATCGACAGATCGAAAAGGTGGAATCTGTGAGCAGGTGAGGCGTGGTTGGTGGTCAGCCAAGGCCAATAAAGAGGAAATGGGGGTTCCCAGGAGGGTGATGAGCACGCACATGGAAGCCGAAGCGTCTAGCCCCTGGTATTCCGACTTCATCCGCATATCGTTCCTGTCCAGGCCTCATCTTCGCACGTGTCTCTATCGAGGCACATCCTGCTCCCTTGTCCGTATCATGTTGCAATTCTCTCGCGGCAATATCGATTGCCAGTTGCCCAAAGGCATGCATCTGCTTGATCAGCTTGGCATCATCGTCGTTGCCGTCTCCTTTTCCTTCCCCTTGTCTCCTGCTGCGGAGGGTCTTGACGTTGGCAATGTGCACTCGAGGGACGACAAGCAGGTGTACCCGTGCGGCGGGCGAGCGATCGTAAAAGGCGATGAACGAGTTGTCTTCGTGGACGATGCGGAAGCCGCCGGCGCGTGTGGGGTTGCAGAAGATGCAGTTGGCTGATGCTGGTAGTGGGATTGGGGGGTCGGCTACCTTTGCAAGAGGGCTGTATAAACCATGAGGGCGGGAGCGCGAGTGCTCAGGAGAGAGGCCGAGGCATGAGAGGAGCAGGTCAGGCGGGGAGACCATTCTCTCGTCCGTGACGGGCGTTTAAGAGCATCGATCGATGGGTTCCCAGCTCAGGAGATCGGAGGGCTGGAAGAGCAGGCCGGGTAAATGCGAAAACACGTCGCAAGTTGCAGCATGGAGGACACTGTCCCTGGGGTAACAACGAACAACCCTACCACCTACAGGTTGACAAGCATCCATCTAATCAACATAAAGCACGTAACTATCAAAAGCTCGCTCCAACACCAGTCTATCAGTCTATAGTCGGTGGATGGTGTACTCTTGTCAATTGTTTATAGCGTGTTCAAAGATGCTCGTTCGGTGCAAATGAACGATGTTCATAGTGCGCTGGGCGGGCATCGGGGAATCACTCCGCCAAACGAGTTATTACGAGGTTTGGTGACCCTGCAAGGAGTGCACTGTTTGGTTCTATGGACCTGACACCGAGATGCAGCCTGCATCGTTTGACAATGGCTCATACAAGTTGAACTTCATGGCATTGACAAAGCAGGAAGCTCACAGCCTTCTTGCCATTGCACCCACTTGGCGCGCAACTGTACGTGTCGTGCCTGTGGCGCTTGACTCCTACCTTTGCCTCCTTTCTCGCCGGCTGGCGTAGGATCGAGCACCGTGACTCGACCAAACGGTAAACGTCCGTGGCCTTGATATCGTAGAGTTCTTTTACTCAATTCTCAAACTGTGAAGCGCGAAAAGCTGCCGTGGATTCAAGCCTCACAGATCAGTCCGCGGTCTTTCCTCCCGGCAGGTAGCTACAAGCTAGAATCATGGGCGACGCAAATGGGCTTGCAGGCGCAAACAGCGCAGCCGGTGCTTTGCCATCCTCGTCCTCTGTCGCGTCGAGCTCGACGGCAACATCAGCATACAAATCGACTAATCCGTTTGCAGCGCTTATAGAACAAGAGTCAGGTGGTCTGCAAGTTGCAGCTCCGCAGTCATCGTCGAGCGCTAGTACAGACGCAGCGGTCGCCAGCGAGGCCGCAAACTCGCACATGCACAGCTCATCTCGACATCAAGCAGCACACGACCCATTCGAGCTGGCTGAGCTGGAAGCAAGCCTTCCGGCTTACAATACAGGAAATAAAGGCACGAATGGTCAACATGCGAATACAGAAGAGTATGGAAGGCCCGCCGAAGAGATCGCTCAGCCAGAATCTGATTCCGATTCTGGCTCGAACCATGGTGATGATCCCGGTCCGGATGTTCATGTTGTGACAGAGCCGCTGCCTACCAATGCTCAGCCCATAGCAAACATCGAACACCCTTCCCTTAATCCAGCTAGGTCACCTCCGGCGGCTCCTTCATCATCTCAATTCAACAAGGAGCCTTCATTGACTGCTTCCACATCTCTTGCTGCAATTCCAGTAACGACATCATATTCAACGGCCTCTAGTTCTTCAGAACAGCCAAGAGTACCAGCGACCAGATACGCACCGCCATCAGGTCCACCGCCAGATAGAGGACCGGAGCGAAGCTTCGCGCCACCGTCAGGTTCGCCGCCAAACTTAGCACCGCCTCAGCATCCAGCCATTGCTGTGGGAAGCTCTAGCAGCACCAGTAGCGGCAATAGCAGCCATGACCGCAGTGGTAATAGCGCCAGCTCGGCGGTCCCCTTACTGCCCAACTATCATCCTAGCGCAATTCCGACACCAGGACAGCCGCTGCTTCTTCAAGGGCGTCTTCTGCTCTACCCGCCGCGCCTGTCCCCGTGCTCGAAATGCCGCGGGACGGGCTACAAGCGCGCAGACGTCTTGAATCCGTGCGTGAGGTGCTGGGATAGGTACGGTCGATCCTTCCAGAGCATTTTGGACGGTAGGATCGACATAAGACAGTATTCGCTGCAGGCGCCATTGCCAGTCTTAGCCCATCATAACAGCCACCATCACCATCCCCACCACAATCACCATGGCGGAGGCGACTATCCGGGAGCGATGTCCAATGCAAGCAGCCTTCCCCAATTTCAACCCCTGCCTCATCATGGGCAGCAACAATTCTCGCCACCGTCGCACCCACCGCCACATCCCCGTCTTGACCCTCCGCAAGTGACACGCACGTCAGAAGCAGAGGCAGACGAACCGGACGGCGAGGCGCCGCCTTCGTACGAGGCAGTCGTTACGACCCATCCGAACCAAACGTTACCACCACAGAGAGTGGGAGAGGCCAACCGACCTCAGCAGGGCCAACAAATGGGGCAAGGGCATTTCAGACCCTCAGATGGAGGGGCAGCGCATCTGGTACCGCCGGGTCAGTCCCTCTATCATTACCCTTATTCACAGCAGCACGCGTACGCACAACAATCATTCCCGCTTCACACAGGCCCTCCCGGTTCCCTGCCATACGCACCATACCCGCACCAAGGCTTCCCGCCGCAGCAGTCACACCCGCACTTGCACCACGGCAGCTTTGCCAATGTCCATGTCACAGGCCCTGGCCGGTATCCACCGCCTGGTGCACTGGTACTACAACCAGGCGATCCGCGAATCGGTGGGCGGCTATGTTTTCACTGCGATGGCACAGGGACAATTGAGGGGCTATTCTTCGGCGATGACATTTGCGAGCGGTGTCAAGGCGTTGGTAGATTGTTTGCGCCTTGATGTTGCTCGGCAGCAGGGTCAGTGCATAGAACGAGGGTTTCTTTTCAGCGACAGAATCCTGCTCCTCAATGCTACCATCTCTTGCTTCTGCTTAAAAATACATGCAAATGCGAGTGTGTGGGTTTGGAATGAGCCGTCTGCTTTCGAGTGCTACCTGGCACTGTGGGATGAGTTCGGGCGCGCGCCCAGGATGGAAGAGAAGCGAACTATACGCGTGGACAGGGAAAAGGGTGGGGAACGAGCAGGATAAATGCTAAACATGGAAGTAGGTTTCCACAATTGAAGCGGTAGAAATTTCCTGTTGTTGAAAGTGGTATTTGTTGGAGTTATGCTGACTATCGCCCTTGTGGCACTCCTCTAGAAGGGTATATTTTTGCGGCGTTGAGCTCGGATAGATTCCCTGCAATGCAACGCACAGCATACATTCTGTGAGTGTGCCTTTGATGATTTCGGAGAGCCATGCTTTTTGAGGTAGTCGTCGATCACCGCGGCGGAGGCAAGGCCACTCCATGCATCCGTATGTAATCGTCGCTGCGCTTCGTTAGGTCCTTGATGAGCTCCGACACGTCATGCAGCACGCGCATTCGCTCTTCATGCGCGACCCCGTCTTTGCTGGCAGTCGCTCGAGTGGACGAAGATCTCGTCGCTACTGATGAGGACGCCTGCCCGCGCTGGCCCCGTGGGGGCAGTGGCACGCGCGGAGGAGGACGCTGCACGCGGTTGCTGGGGTTCATCGAGGAATGAGCTTGTAAAGATGCGCTTGGAGGGCATGCATTCTCTGATAAGGAATGTGTGACTGATGCTGAGCGGCTGTGGTCGCCTGCCAACGCTGAGGTGTCTGCGCTAGGCGATTGAGACTGCGCGACAAAGCGGCGTAGTGTTTCCAGCGCAGCCCGCACTTCATCGTAGCGATCAGCCGGGTTTTCAACATAGGACCCCCGATATGGCAGGTTGCCGGAGACTGTGTCGATCCTGGCCCGCAGGCTGGTGTCATGCCCGCTTCGCCGACCTGCCTCGCGGTATTGGCTGAGCGTCGATACAGGTCGTGCAGCTGACGCCTGATGTAAGCCCAAATTGCGGATGTCAAGCTGCGAGAGACCATAGCTGGCGCCAGACCCGCCAGTAGGCATTGATACCATGGACAAGGGTCTTGAGCGAGGCCATGTGGTGGCACGGGCCCCTAATGATGATGATGACTGCGGACAATCACTAACACGCTGCGACACACTCCGCCTTGGCTGTGACGACTGTTGCTCTGGCAGAATGTCGTACGCACTGGCGGAAGGAGATGACAAGGGTGTTTTGACGCCAGAGTTACATCGCTGGTTGAGCGTAATGGATTCGTCAAAAAGCCACGAGTCATAAGCCGTCGATGCAGACCTGCAATCAAAACTGCTGCCTAGACGTGATGTGTCGGTAGGGTAGGATGAAGTGCCGCCAGATAATGAACCTCTCTGCATCCCCGAATCGTCAAGGGCATCCTCGCTGGCTTGCATGCGCTGTGAACCACCTCTGGGGGACTTGCCCCGTCGCCATCCACCTGCATTTAATTCGTAAGAAGTCTCGACTTGGCCAGGAGGATCTATGCCTGGAAAAGAGGAAGAAGAGGGGAGGCCGTGAAGGGATTGAACCGGGCTCCGTCGCCTTGTGAGGGCGAGATGCGAAAATAGAGAATGCTGTGAAGAGGTAGCGTTCTGACTTCTCATTCCCATTGCAGCACGAGCAGACAAGGAAGCCGTCGGAGCTATGCTACCCCCAGTATGGTCTCGGCGCAAGGGTCGTCGGCGCGGTCCCACTGCTGCATCTGACGGAGAGAATGATTGCCCCGGTGTTGTACTGGGGTGCAGAATGGCATTGCAATTATCTGGTTGCGAAATGCACAATTCTGAAAGCATCAAAGTTGGATTCGTTGTCGACTCGGAGGCGGCCTCTTCTGTACACCCCTGGAAGCGTGGACCGACCGCTTGCTGTTGAAGTTGCAAACGCAAGATTTCACTATCTGGAGTCAATTGCTGAGAGATAACCGATGGCGAAAGGGAAGCCTCGGATGAATGGGTACCAGGACTTCCGACGTCTTTTTCCAAGTCCATGTCGGTATCACTCGAAACCGAGAGGCTGCTTTGAGTGCGCGGCCTAAAGGATGACCACCGATCCTGAGCATGTGTGAGGTCTGGCTGACCGGTTTCCAGAACTTCACCGCTAGAAGTACCTGCGAATGTCATCGGGCGGCGTCGATGGGATGCTCTGTGAACATTACGCTGCAAGTTCCCCGGCGGACTCTGCAATTGCGACCCTGACTGAAATTGCCTGCGGTCGAAGGGGAAGCTGAAGTTGGGTAATGCAAGATTGGCGCTCTGAAGGATTCCAGATCACCTGTTAGTATTCCATTAGCTTTTATGAAGCTTTGCGTTAGGATCTATGTTTGGCCGTGCTCACCCTCTGTGACGTATCAAGATCTCCTATGGACTCGAGCAGCGCAGTCATACCTTCTTGTGATATGCTGGCGAGCCACGCGGCTTCGCTCACGATTGTAGGACTTGAATCTTGCAAGGGAAATGTGGGTACAGCCTGGCTTTGCTTGAGGGGTGCGAAAGTGGCGAAAGAATTGCTGGAGCTTGCTTGACCTAGCCAAGAAGAGTACGGGTGGTCATTTTCAAGCAGTTGAACTAGCGGCGACAGATCTTCCTGTGGTGCATCGTGTTGGAACAAAGCTGGCGTCAAAAGCAAATGCGGTAGCTCGCCATCCTGAGATACCCGGTCGGACAACCCCTGACCCGGGCTCGGAAACATGGCTCGCTGTGCCTTCGCTGAGTATCAGCGTTGTTCCGCGTCAAGAAGCACACGCATCTTTCGATATCAAACAGCTTGCCCAACTTGCCGCCTTCGCGAGACTATATGCCGCTCTTTCGAAAGGTTGGCTATGATGCACTCCTAACTTTTTGACTGATTGACCCCGGCCCTAACTTCTCAGACGCGGCGATGAGCTGATCGAGCTACTCTGGTGGTGAGAGTGTAATAGCTGATGGAAGTCTATAGCAGAGAACGCAGCCGGTACTGTAACGGCATGTGCAATCATGTGTCACCTCGTAATGCCTCGGCTGCACGAGTCATAATCATTACGAGGACAACATGGTAGTCAATTTACACATGCAGACCCCTTTGTTGATGGTGATTGCTCACATATGCTCGCAAAGGCAAACGTGAGCTTTCAACTTAGTAGGTGGAAGTACCGCATGCAGCGATGCAAATGCGGATATGTACTCACATCACGCACAACCTTATTCGTTATTGCGTTGTGAAAGGACGGACAGGAGCACGTGCCCTCACATTCAGATTTGCTGTGGCATGGGCTCCACTTTCAGCATACACAGGAGGGTCTCCTTCTCACCCCATCACTCATGCTCAACTGTGGTATATGCACTTACATGTTCCTCAGACATCTATGAATCTAGCTATTATCCCCTGTCTTCATAAAGTGCATCTGCGCCTCTAGGGATGGGTCTACTGTGAAAGCCGACGGTCGCAACAATCGCACTTCATAGGCGCAGTCGCAATTCGCAATCGTGAAATGAATATGTTGGTCATCTAGGTGTGTACGAGTATGTTTAGACGGTGTGTACACTGTACACGGTCAGCGACAGAAGATGTCATTCGCTCCAATCTTTGCAGATGAAGCGATGGGACGAGTGTTAGAGAGTGGTACGCCATACGCCTTCGTTTTCTGGCCTGCCCGCTGCCTGCAATTGCGCGCCAACACCACAAATCGCCATTGTCCCGATCTAGTGTCAGAGGTCACTGGTGCGTCTTTTCTCCTGGATCCAAAAAGATCTGAAAAGATCTGTGCCAGGCCCGCAAAAATCCAGCAATGCGCACTGGACCCTGGTGACGAAAGTTCCCTCTTGGCCCTTGTGGCTGGGCTGGCTTAGGCAACAGACTGGCGAAACAGACCATAGTGGTCTTGGGCAGCCCTAGACACGTCCTGGGCGTTGTTTTCCTTAGACCGCGGCTATCAGCATTCTCGCTCTTTAGGGCCCGCCACCCCGCCAGTGAGTCCGCCAAGTCCCCCTCCCCCACGCCGGATCCTCACTTCTTCCATCTAGCAAGCAGCGCTTGCGGCTAGAGGGAAGGCTGGGAAGGGCTGCGCCTGAAGTATTTCAGTCTCTTATGCGTACAAGCTGCTGTCTATTTCAGAGCAAGTGCATCTCGGCATGATCACTTTACTCACCGACTAGCGAATGAAGACACCTCTGGGCAGGGGCGAGTTACTTGCGATTGTCTGCGGCTAAGATGCCTGTATTGCACATCGTCTCAAGAAGACTAAGCCCGGTTCTTCGTGCTCACAGCGGCATAGAGCTACGAATGCTAAGTGGGATTTGCTGACGAGAAAAGAGAATTATGTATGCAAGTGCGATACGAGTGCGGTGGGGTGGCCCATCTGGAGCGCACGGGCCGCCGCTCTGCCTGTTCTGAACTTTGCGAGCATTCGGCCAAGTCGCGACGAGAGGTCATGGCGCATGCTGAGGAGAGCCTGGATGAGCGGGCTACTGGAGGCACGCTCGCTTGGGCATCTGGAATCTGGAACATCTTGTCGGCGCCTTGGTTGTTGTCTGCTGATGGGTGCTGCCGTTCGCTGAAGGGAGGGCTAGTGAGTGTCAGTTGTCAGCTGCCCATGTAAGCTTGATTGATGCATATCAGCTGCCAGATGTCAGATATTCTCATAACATATTTACTACTTGATGCTCGCATTAAACAGTTTCCCCGCAAGCATCCGCCAACACACCTACCAGGCTCTAGCACCCCCTTGCTCTCCTCGCACCTACGTCCAATTTGAATGGTATGGGAGTTGCGACGAATGTGCAGAATACGATACAGGCGAGCAAAGACTTATGTACAGACTGATGATGCGACATTGGGATATTGCTTATTTTCCGAATACATATATTCTCTTTCGAGACTCCCAGCGATCTGGTCCTTTTGTTCGTTTATTTTGTTTGTCGTTGACTTATGAACAAAAAAGCCCCACGGACGGGAGCTCGGCTCTCGGCGACGCCCGGCTGCCCGCGGTACCCTTGCAGTAACGTGTGTAGTTTGTACATGATGCGCCTGATTCTGAAACCAGAATGACCCACCACAGCGGAAAGAGGCGAAAAGTGTGGAGTGCGGGGAACATATTGAAGCAAGAGTGACAATGGGCCAGCATCTAGATTCATTCGACTTTCTACAAATAGGAAACCACTTTGAAAAAAGAACTACTTTATGGGAACTTTTTGGTCATTGGTTCAAAACGTTGACATTCCTCAATTTGGGCTGGGGGATACTTCGGCGGTGGCAGCGAACTTCCCCTCTCGTTCATGCCGGCCCTCGACCCGTTCATCACAGATGTCTCTAATCGGGCTTCTTGAAGCGGCACTAGAAAGTATCGAAAACTGAAGACTCAGTCATAGGAAGGCAAGGGCGCACCCTAACGTGGGCGGAGACGCGGTCACGAAGCCATGTCATTGCGAGCGCCTCTCCTACGTGTGACAGCGGTAAACAGTCTGTGGCACGTATTTGCGTGTCGTACAAGGGCTGGCAACATAAGATGCTGATGATTCGTCGTTAACCTTCCCTTGACGATTGCGACCTACGGAAGAGGTAGATGAAGATTGCAACGACATTACCTCCCAGAGTACCAGCTAAAGCTCCTAGGACGCAAGGTGTCGGCCAGGCCTGAGGAGCATTGCATGAAATGGTGGAGGAAATATGGTCATGTGTCAGTGCTTCGCATGCAGTGTAGAGCTCGCATGGCTTGTTCACCTGCCAGGGACGGTTCCAGTCGAGTGCGAGTGCTGCAGACGAAAGCCAGGCTCCGAACAATGGCCCCACCGTAATGACGAGCAGCACTTTTTCCCTTGCGTTTGCCGGCCTGTAATATGAAAGAACGAAAGGCGTGAGCGATGGGTGACGTTGCATTTTGGGAGAGCGACATGCGCACCAGGACGAGAAAATGCGCAGCCAGCTTTTGAAGTCCTCTCCGAGAATGTGCAGCGGTGCATACAAACCCAGAAGCGTTAGATGTGCAGCCAGCGTCAGTGTTGGTGTATATTGACTGTGATAAAAAAAGAGGCGATTAGTAGTGCAATCCACTGCTTCGGACAAACCCTGCATGTAACTTACCCATTGACCGGTGCGCCGAAGAGCATGAGCAGCAGGAAACACAGCACAAGAGGTATGGGCAACGCGGTCGTCGTCAACACGAGACTCTGCAGTAGCAAAATGAGGAGTTTGAATGTCTCGCTACATCGGTCGCGACTTTCAGGAGACGCACCTCGGCTTGCTTCATAAGTCCCTGCTTCTTCTTGAGCTCCGTGATGCTCTCTCGCTTTTCAATTTTCTGGCCCACCTCCCACCACCATCGGAGTCTGCTAACGACCCAGCTCTGAATGACGAACACGCCTTTGAGTGCCTGGGTCATTTTTTGCGTCACCGCGGTGGGATCATGCTGATCTGGGGGGTTGAGCATGTCGTAAATACCCGAGTACAACGTCGGCCTGGGTCGGTCCAGAGAGCGCGAAAAGATGCCTTGCGGGATGTAGAGGACTGCAAGGACGAGGAGAGATGCCTGCAACAGGAGCAGCACCACGAGCTGGAAGGTATGGGCCGGCGCGCTCGGCACCTCTGTCACTTGCGCTGCGGCACCTGCCCTGCCAGCAGCAGTGGTGCCACCTCGAGCGCCTTTTCGAGGCATGTCTGGCAACCACTGAAAGTGCACGAAATACAGCCGACTTGGGAATGTGGCACCCTCTGTGTCATGAGCTGGAATATCAAAGGGAGTGCAGTTGGAGTCAACACCACAACCATGCTTGTGCTCAGAGCGAAATCAGCCGTTGATCATCTTTCGAGTAGAAATCTGTGATCTCGCGTAGCCTAGTCAGGCGCCAGCCCGCCGAGTGCCGCACCAACTGCCTGTAGTGGTTCGCAGCGCACGGTCGCCGCACCCGGGTCCCGAGAGTCAAGAACTTTCCGTCTGAAATCTGAATTGGCTCGAGTTGGACTGGGGTTCCACCGTTCCCCAGGGTTCAAAGCCTCGACCGCTACACAACCTTCAACCCTACATGTGAGGGGCAACAACATGCCTATGGGACGAAGGCGCAGAGCTGCGCAAATTGTGGCTTGCTTCGCTATCAAAATCTCTAGCATGTGATATTTCTGACTGCCTTACCTCTCCAAACGCCATCACAGGCGACAGTTCGTCATCGCACAGCTGACAGCACTCGAGCACTGCACGCCCGTCCATGCCCGTCCCGATGACATGTGGCCAGGCATTTTCACCAGGAAGAACAGGATGGCGAATGAGTTTTACATCATCCGCTGTGCATTCCACAACATCCGGGGTCAGAATCAGACCGTCATTCTGCTAGACCGCGAGCGGCGAGCTTACGTCGGTCGCACCTTCTGCACTGGTCGTGAGCGGACATACATGATTGAAAGTGCGGACTGCCTTATCGAAACAGCACACACACTGTACAAGTGACCGCTTTAATAGTGTGTCGCGCAGGGCCACGCACGCCGCCACGTGCTCGAAAGCACGGTCCTCGCGTTAGTCTAGGACACGAATCCAGCGTCTGCTCTAGGGCAGGGGAAGAGAGACTTGAGTTGGCCCGGAAACCAGGCAAATGCTGGGCCCCGGAAACAAAAACTTCCCGGAGCCCCCCCGTGAAGGCATTCCAGGAAGCGACTGCTCGAACTCGAGCTCCGGTAGCCCCGGAAAACTTCAATGTGATCACTTCCATATTTTGGTAGTATAGGTAGATAATCGGTTGGATCAGCTTCCACTATGCCTCCAAAGCATGGATCTTTGGGTTTTCGGCTCCCGGGAACCCCCGGAGGGGCTGGGAGAGCGGTCGGCCATACACGGTGATTTCCCGGGCCCCCTTCCGGTTCCCCGGTAACATCCCGAGGGCAAGGGGCTCAGAAGTTGCAGGGAATCTGAGGTTTCTGACAGGGGCGCAGACAGTGTCGGGGCTGGCCAACTCAAGAAGGGACAGTGGCAGAGTTGCACGATGATCGTCAGTAGCCATGGCACCCAGGTGTTCGACTTGAGTTTCTGCGCCACTTGCTTCCCACGAAACATGGAATGTTTACAGCGTACTTTGTTCAGGTCGATACCTGGCTGGAAGAGGGCAAATGCGATTCGAGTTATACGCCTGCAAGCCATGGCGACGCTAGGGATTCATGTAATTCTGCGACTGTCGCTTCTCACGCTTCGAGTGTCCTGCATGCAGATGCCGGATTCCGGTCCCAGACTAACGCGAGGACTTTGCTTTCGAGCACGTGGCGGCGTGCGCGGCCCTGCGCGACACACTATTAAAGCGGTCACTTGTACAGTGCGTATTCTGTTCCGAAAGAGAGCAGTCCGCACTCTCAATGTATTTCCGATTGAGACTGGTGGAGATCTGTGGTTTCTACGCACGCTATGGCCTCCTGGAATGGGGCGTTGCGCTAGTGTATTGTTTGGCCAGTTGGCCATTGCCCACTAGACAGTGCATGGGCTTTGGAGCCTGAGGCTGAAGAAGTGGCGAGCCGCGAGATTCTTGGAAATACCAGCATTGGGAATCATGGAATCTGGCGCCGGGTACCTGACTATTGGCGTATCCTGCCTGATTCAGTGGATTTACCACTCACATCCATGTTTTTTTTTGATCTGGATGGCCAAACCCCTGCCGCATCTCTTGCCGCACTACCGGCGGCTCGAGGCAGACAATCTCGACTCACCGAGTCCCGCTTGGCCGCTTTGGTACGCGGCACGCGTCGGCACTTTTTGTTGAGTTGTCAGAGGTCGGAGAGTCGATGGGCAAAGACCGCAGGGGCAATCCTTTCGCGGCTGTTCGACAAACTCTCCATAGTCTCCGTCCATAAAGCAACCCGGCAACTTCCACCGTTCACCTTGCATCCGCTACACTCAGGTCTCAATTCAACACGCGGCGCTTCCTTTCGCTAGCAGCGGGCCTCACCGCCTCATAGTCACACGCACTCTCATCGTCGCACACTCACCCGTCGCTTCAACATGTCTAATCAAGGATACTACGGAGGTCCGCCTCAGCAAGGTAGTGGGTACGTGAGTTTGCCTCCGTAGTTTCTTGCGCGCGGGCTGTTTGTTTTACCTAGAGCGCAACACTTACTTTTCTTGGCCTTGCTTGGGATCGCAAAGTATCCCCCTCAGCAAGATGGCTACCCTCAGCAGGGAGGCTACCCGCAGCAAGGCTATGGTGGCCCACAGGGTGGGTGCCAGTACCCATTCATGGGGGCGGAAAGCATGTGGACTGAGACTCATGGTCATTGCTGTCCTCGTACGTGCAGGATACCCGCAAGGCCAGCAAATGGGTATGACCCCGCTCCAGCAAAAGCAAGCCTCGGCCAAGGACAAGCACGGATGCTGCGGTCCTTGTGCTGCTTGCTGTGTACGTCCGTGCGAGAGTCCTCCAAATGTCTAGGGCCCCACACCAGATCTGTGCTGACTTCTGACCATCACCTCAAACACCTCAGCTTGGAGCATGTGCATGCTGCTGCTTGTGAGTTGCAAAAGGCGCTTTGCGCTCAACCTTGAAACTGACATTCTGCGCTCTTTCTGTGACTGCTTGTGACTGACCTGCTTTTAGGGAAGACATTGTGCGTCCCTTTGCTTTTGAGCACACCACTTCGAATGCAGAGCTGATGATGTGCCCCTATCTTGTCTTGTCAGTGCTGCGCCGAGGTTGGTCACCGTGACGTATTTGGAAGGCGTCTAGTGACTTTCAGGTGATTGATGAAGACATGATTTTCTTTTATTTTCCCCTCCACAGATGCTCGACTGTCTCTTCTAAATCATATCAAAAACCGCATCATTTCATGCGATTCTCGACCTGGACTACTGCTCATGTACATTCAATCTTCTGTGATACATCGACATACATTCAACTGGAGTAGCCGCGCGTTAGCGAGCGCGCACGAAATACCAGTATGTTCAACAATATGATTGCTATCTTAAAAGTGCGTGAATTCGAGCTACTGCTCTCTTTGATATACTCATATCGCCGTTCCTTAGGTAAGCCCTGACGTACATGAGAAGGTAAGGCAAAAGCTTTGGAACCGGTCTATTGCTGCTTTGTCCTCTGTATGTCACCCGGATGAGCCATTGGATAAGCATACAAGCCTGTACTTTGAACACCTCGTATGGAGTTGGAGGCTAGAGCTAGTGCTGCGCTCTCCCCCTGCACCGTCGTTGGATGAGATACACCTTGCATTTGGCGCATCATTCGGGGCAAACCTGGAGGATGGTCCTCAAAACTGCCCCCTTGCACGGCGACAACTGGCATACATAGGAAGGATGCGTGAAGAATGCTGACAAGAGCAGCATTACAAATTCAAACCCGATAGCTGTTAATTGTGGCACCGTCGTAGCAAGATGTCGTCTCGTCAAAAACTACTTCACCCTCGTCGGTTCCCCGTCCGTGATGAGCGCGCATAAACTGGGGTTCGCCCCTAGTACTTTAATTTTTGAATATGAGTCACCCGCACATAGGGTGGGCAGAGGTTAGCTTGGCATTGTCGACCAGACTGATGCTCTTGGCGACTCTTGCTGCGCTGATCTCTACCCTCTAAATACACAGATTGGTTGGTGAACTACGATGAATGTGAAAGCGGAGCGATACAGATCATCAAATGAAAAAACGAGGGATTGATTCCATGAGCTATAAGGGCATCTTGAATCTGTATTTCAAGGTCGCCTGGCGCAGTTGGTAGCGCGTGAGATTCCAGCGATTCTTGTGATCAAACACGTAGAATTTGGTTCCTCAAGGTCATCCGTTCAAGTCGGGTGGCGATCATTTTTTTGGTGATCCTTTGGGCTTTTTTTTACATGAACACCACAAACTACATGCCGATCAAAACTTGCAGAGGCTCTTCGCAGGACGACACGTGCTAGTCGACTTGAAGAACTCGTCAACGCAAACGGATACGAGTCTAATTGCCTGCGTTGAGCAAGATGAGTTGTAATGTTGTAGACGCCGCCCGAAATATTTCTGAATGCAGGGTCTGCACGCCTGATCCCATGAGCCATGCGCCTCTCATACATTCGTGGCGTAAGTGGGCTCGTCCTTTCGAGGTACGAGGCTTAAGGCCGTGCCTGCAAGATGAACTTGTACTCTCGAGGACAAAAGGGCTGTTCGCCTCTATCGCAAAAACACTAGAGGGCGCAGTTCCCAATTCGCCTCATATTGTCAGGCCTGGTAGCACAAATGCCATGCAAACCAAGCGATTCTCAGAGCTGCGACTGTTGTCTTTCTAAATGCTCCGCCACGCTTGCTGATCATAGCATGAGATCAGACACAAGCCAAATTCAACATTTCGCTAGTTGGACGCAAGTTGCAAGTTCATGGGAGCCGATATGTACGAGACTAGATCCAATCATCGTCTGAGTCATCCATGTCAGCATCCGCAATCTCTTTTGCTAGCTCCCTCTCCCGTTCCCGCGCAGACGCAGCTTTGGCAAGTTCGGCCTTGTGGTAGTTGAGGGGATAGCGCATTGCCTACAGTAGTTATATAGGGGATGTTAGAATGAGCCTGCAAGCGCAACGTCTACCCAAATGGCTGCACGCACCTTAAGCGAGTCGTTATGCAGTTGCAAGCAGAAATTGATGCGCTGTTGAAACTGCACCTGTGGCTCGTTTGTCGCGTACACGTCCATCTTTTCCCTGCTCTCCATCCAGCCCTTTTCATGCTCAACTTTCGCCTCGATCACACCATCCCTAATCGCCTTGGCAACAATGTACTCTGCATCCTCCTCGCTCTCGAGGTGTAGCTTCTTTGTGATATCCTGGAGCGAGATGCGCGAGTAGGCCAGTGAGATCATGCGAATGCCAGTCTTAATGACATTGTGGCGCAGACGAAGGATGAGAGAGTAGGTCTTATCTTGGTGGAAAAGGCTCTCGTGACGCGACAGTGCCGACTGGAACAGATTCAGATCACCCACGCGGACAGCTGCGAAATAAACAAGCTCAGTGTTGGTGCTGTCACAGACGATGTCACAGGCTATTCAAGACGATACTCACCCTGAACAATCTCAAGGTAGGGCGCAAGTGGTTTCTTGAGCGCGTCGATGCGGAAAATGCTGCGGTCTGGAATATCGCCCATGAGAAGCTCGACGACGACAAAGAACTTGTGCGCAGACTGCAAAAACCCGGCGGCGCTTTGGTATGGCATGGACACGGCGCCAGCCGCCGCGCTCGCAGTGGTCGTCGTCGGTTGTGGGGCACGGCGGATAGCTTGTTGCAGATGCGAGTGCGCCTCGGTGTAGTTGAGCTGCACGGCACGGATGCGACCGACATAGTAGTCAAAGCGAGCGATCTGGCCATTGGAGGCCTGTGAACGCGGGAAGGGCGCGCGAGCAACCAGCTTGTCGGCTTGGTCGTAGAGGTTCGACTCTACGAGATAGCATCGTAGCAGCAGGTTGATGATCGTCGCGGTCGTCTCTGCCTCATGACGCAGGGACGCAGTCCGGTGTTGAGCGAGCAAAAAGCCGCGCTCGCCAGCCAGAGCTTCGCCTTTACCGTCCTTGAGCTTGAGAAGCTCGACGCCACGCCCGATATAGTAGATGACCTTGGCGCCGAGAAGGTCCAAGCTGCGGCGGTTTGCGGCGACGATGTTCGCGAACGTGGAGCGTGCCAACGCAAGGGAGTCAGGAAGTTTGCTCGAGTCGAGCAAATAGATGGTGACAAGCAAGCTCAGATAGGCTTCCAGCTCCTGCGTTGCTTCAGGGATCGGCTGATGGGGCTGCTCGAATGGCTTCTTTTCCTTTTCCGCTTTCTTCTTGGGTTCGGCCTTGTCCTTGCTATCTGACTTGCCGTCTTTATCCTTCTTGTCCGCCTTGATGTCAGGGTCTACCGCCATGGCATCTGCATCTGCTGCCTTGCTAGCAGGAGTAGTTGGGGGAGGCGGTACATATGGCTCGGGAAGGACGGACAGGAGTTGAGTAGCAAGAGGCGAGCCTGAGGAAAGTGCACGCCATGCTCGTGTCAATCGCGAGCGGGCTCATAAGATGCTCCAAGTACTCACCTGGCTGGAGACCCTCCTTGACTGCCGTGGCGAGAACATTCGAGTAGAGCGTGAGACGCTTGCGGGTGTAAGGCAGTGTGCGCAATATCCTTGCCGTGAAGCGAGGCTCCATGTGTGTGACGCTGCGCTCAATCAATGCGAGGTTCTGGCGGAGCAGGACGAGCAGCTGAACCTGAGGGGGCGTCGTCGGCGCGGCCTCGCTGGCCGCCTTTTCCGGCGCTTTCGCGTCCGCTGCCTTCATTTCGGTGTCTGCGGACATGCTTGATTCTTATGATGCTTCCCGCGTGGACCTCACAGGCTCGAATGAACCGAGAGGCGGACATCAACAAGGTGACGTTATTGGGCCCGAGCTCGTCGCTTGCGCGGGAATGGGAAGTATGGGGAGAGAGGCAGACACAAGAGACGCGTCACTCGATAACTCTCCAGACTCAGAGGATTCCGCGTTCCGCCCCACCTCGAAAGGCCCCTTCGCAAGCTTTCGCAGGCAGAACAAGAGCTTGCCTTACAGGGAGGATCGAGTACACATGCAGGCTGTACATCTGACAAACCATAGCACGACGGCACAAGACAAGATACAGTCTCAGTACAGCGGGAGCAGCTTAGGACTGGTCGAAGCGGACGAATTCATCTTTGGGCTTGGTGATTACATTGGAATTTTGGTTCGGATCATCAAGGTGTCAGAATGGGTCGCTATGCGGCAATGGTCAGCGGTGAGCAAGCTGACGGTGTCCCAAATTTCGCGAAAGCAGCCTTGCTGAAAGAATATATGAGATCCTGCGCACTTCTCAGGACCAGCCGGCTCTGGCAAATCGACGTTCTGCACAGCATTGATCACACATGCCCAGAGCATCGGCCGAAATGTCCATCTGTTCAACCTTGATCCGGCGGCGGAACGGTTCGAGTACGAGCCCAGCATCGATATCAAGGAGCTCATCACGCTGGAAGACGTCATGGAGGAGATGCGCTTGGGACCAAATGGAGGATTGATATATTGTTTCGAGTGCGTCCGCTACGGGCAGTGATACACGCTTCTCTCCGCCAAGCTGATCCCATTCCTTGCCAGATATCTGCTCGATAACCTCGACTGGCTCGAAGACCAACTAGGGCAATTCGACGACGACTACATCATCATCGACTGCCCGGGACAAATTGAACTCTACACGCACTTCCCCATCATGTCCCGGTTGATCAGCGTGTTGCAACAGCAATTCAACTTCCGAATATGCGCATGCTACCTGCTTGAGTCGCAGTTTATGGACGACAAGACAAAATATTTTGCTGGCGTGCTCAGCGCAATGAGCGCAATGATCAATCTCGAGGTTCCGCATCTCAACTTGATGAGCAAGATGGACCTCGTTGCCAAAGGCGAGACGGGTGATGCGATACAGACTGGGCGACGAAGAGAGATGGAGAGGTGCGCTGCTGCTGTCGGCTGCCGATGTCATCCCCTGGCGCTGACTACGGCTGAATTTCTGCTATTCAGATACTTCGACCCCGACCCGCTGCTGCTTGTTGACGAGGTGAATAGCAAGACAAACCCACGTTTCCATGCGCTGAATCAAGCAGTGGTGCAACTGATAGAGGATTTCAGCATGGTGTCTTTCATGCCGCTGGACGTGACGGACGAGGACAGCGTCGGCTCGGTCCTATCGCACATCGACAATGCGTTACAATACGGCGAGGATGAGGTAAGCATGTACTGTCCTGGGCTGTCGAATTGCGGCCTTGCTGACTATGCTGGACGCTCGCTCTGCTCCACTTTGCAGGAGCCGAAAGAACCAAAAGACATGGATATGGGAGACTTTGAAGAATAAGGATATTGATCGGTTCTATCAATTTTGCATTGCGATTGGGTAATGATACTTGTAGCATACAACGAATCCCCTGCGCGCTCGCGCTCATGGCACGACTCCGTACAACGCACCCTTGCATTACTCTCCATAGATTTCGCGGCGTATCGCGTCGATCGTCTGCTCGTCGAGGTCGGACCCAGACTGAACAGCCTGCACCGCCTCGCGCACGTGCGACTCGGAAGTGCTCCCACAGAGGACGGTCGCCTGTACACCTGCAATCCCCAACCCTTGAGAGACGTAGCGATAGACCACCTGCTCGGGAGTCAAGCCGAACTCGGCCGCCGCAGCCAGCACCGCTGTCGATTCGAGGAGAAACGGATTTCTGCAGTAAGGAGCAGAACCGCGGGAATTTACCCTTATAAGCCCTGGCGGCGCTTTGCAGGGAGCTAAGTTCGGTCGACTCACCCGGTCAATGTCCAGAAAGGCTGGTAGCGAATACCTTCGCCCGCAAATCCATCTTCGTCCAGCGGAAAGTCGTTGGGCGACAGCACGGGGCTAAGCGTCGGCAGGACAGATAGGTCATGACCCGTGCTGGCGTGCCATCGATTCTGCAGCACTGTTGGTTTGACGCGGGTCATCATACCTCGCAGGGCCGCCCAGATCCGGGGATCGTAGACGTTGCTGATGCCAATCTGACGTACTTGCCCGCTGAGCACCAGTTCCTCTAGGACGGCCCATGCTGCAGCCGTTTCTTCTAGCGAACGCAACGGGCTGTGCAGTAGGTATGAATCGATATATGGCTGCGGCTCGACATCGGTGGAGCTTGCGTTGAGCCCTTCTTTGGAACCTGACGCGGTCTCCCGTTTTTTGCCTTTCGCGTCGATTGTTACAGAGGGAGACAGGTTGAGGCTGTACAGGCTGTGTCGGAATGAGGCCCACACCTGCTCCGCGACCGGCGCTTGGGGATCATAAGGAATGAATCCAGTTGAGTCCTGCCCGTCGACAGAGGTGAACCTGTGCAACAAAAATGTTCAGGCTTGATACGAGCGACGCTGCTTCGCACACCCTAGATCTACGAACTTGGTCTGAATCCAAATATCCTCGCGCTTGAGGCCCAATTCGCGTCTAGCAAGCGCGATCCCCTCGCCTACTAGGTCCTCGCGATAATGCTTTCTCTGGCCAGCCGTGTCAACGCCACGGAATCCGGCGCGAAAAGCTTGCCGCACGAGCGACGCCGTGGCGTCTCCTTTCCATGCTGTACCGTAGAGAATCTTCGGCATGGACATGCTCGCGCGTGGGACTAGCGGCATGGTGGCCACTGGTGCTGGTGCTGCTACTGCTGTTGCAAGCGTGCTTGCGCCTGCGCCTGCGTCTGCATTCCCTGCGGTCAGCTCCCTAGCTGACGAGACAACTGCACTATTGTGCGCAGCGGCATCCGAGATGATGATCTGGCCACCCTCGCCCCCACCGCCGCTGCTTGTTGTCGAAACAAGAGGGCCGGACATGGACGGGTCAAATGTGCAGCTATCACAGCCGGCTGCGTGCGACTGTTGGAGAGGGCCGTGGGCTGTGAGGCTCGATTAAGTGGCTGTAGTCATATCTTAAATATGAAAAAGGACCTGCTGCAGATCTTCGCTGGTCTGCGCCCCTCCCGGACCCGTCTCTATTGCACCTCAAGCGGAGCTATCACTTGGTTGGTTGGCTACAACTCGGTGGGTAGGTAATAGACACGACTGACTGAATACTGAGAATCCTGATGAGAGCAACTTGGCCAAAAGCACGTCATGACGGTTCATGGCGTTTCTTCACTGCTGGGCACGCATGGCTCGAGCGCGTAACCCTGCGTGAGGGGTTCATCCTTCCTTTTTTAATGCATGTACACCCCGTGCACTTGCTGCGTCACATGCATCTCGCACGCCGTAAATCATCTGAATCTGACAACGTTTAGCACGCTCTTAGCTTCTATGCAAATCGAAAAACTCGTTTTAGCAGAAGTGGCGAGCTGCTCAACGTGCATGAGGTATTTTCCGAGCAGCTCCTGTACTCCAGTTGTTTGGGGGCGGCTGCCTGCTCGCCAGGCATATAACGAGTGGCAAGGATATCTCCAATATCCCGGCAGCATATGCGATGGTTTTGTTCCTTGCGTCACCTCTGAGAGTATATATATATGACGAGCGGCAGGGGCATGGCAGTATGGCTTCCTACAGATTCCACACTTGGCATGGCATCGCTTGCTAAACGTTCGGTGATCGCCTGCTAATGTGTCCCTCTTATCTCTCCAACATGAGCATCGGCGCCTAGCCGCTAGCCATTCCGAATCGGATGCAATGTTCACCAAGTGTATGTCACTGTCTGAAATACCATTGAGATGCATGACCATTCTTGTACGTCCCACATCGACAGCACCCCTTGAGCGTCGCGTGGCCCGAAGGCGGTCTCATCCACAGCGATGGGCTGACTGGATCCGGCGTCGCCGAGTCCGAGCGCAATTGCAGCAGCTACTGTTGAGCATACAGGCACCAGGCACCCACTCTCGCGCCATCCTATGCTTTGGAACATGGCCATCCAGCATTGGCATGGGACGAACTGGCCAACAGGATACCAGAGCGCACGCTTTCGAAGCAGCTCTGCAGCTTCAAGATCCAAAGAGGCGTGGACAGGGGCGAAACTTGCGCTTCATGAAGCACTCAACGCGTGTGTGTGGGGGGGGGTGGGGGGTGGCCACAGATTACACAGACTACTAGGGCGCCAGAGCAGTCTCACTCTAGTCCAGGACCCTAAAGCAACAAGGGACGAAAGGGCGCGTGCGAGGGAGTGCTCTGGATCAGTCACCAGCACCTGGCGCGCAATTCACCTGACCACACAGAGCCGCTGGTTGCCACCGTGCGGCAGTGGGTGCGGGTCTGGATGGAAGCCGATCTCTCATCTCTTTTCTGCTCAACGGGCAACGTGTGGCGACTTGACGACTCCAGGCTGCAGCCGCCGGGTAGCCCACAGCACATACAGTATCATTGACTTCCTCGAGCATTGGCCAAGAATTCGGTTCATGATGACCTAGCTTGTTAATCAGCAGTCCAAGTGAGAGCGCGTTCTGCGGCGTGCAGCTTCTGCAACAGGAGGCAACGGCACTGTCGAGCCTTGTCGTGAGAATTGTTGCCCGAGGGACACGAATAAGATCAGCGCACCTTCGCGCGTGTGCGAGTTCTCCCATGGAGCACCGCCGACGGAACCTCGCCACAGCCTGATCGCCTTGGGGATCCAAGTCTGCGGATGGCATGTCGGCCGCTGTTGCGAACCGCCCATACATCTACGTGCATTGTGGGCACGCCGATCTTGACAGCGCCAGCCACGTCAGTCGATTTCCTCCTGCTGGCACCAAGTCTGCCTTGTCTTCGGTGAACATGTCGGAGGGGATAGCCATCCAGCATCCTCTTGGTTCACCTCCACATACAGAAGAAAGCTCGCCCACCGTCCAGGCAAGCTACTCTGCTTCAGACTCTTACACGGGCCTTCGAGATGACCTTGAAACCGAGGCGGTCGACCTCGGTCTCAAGCCCTCCCTATCGACGAATACCTCGGGGTTCTATGCAAGCAATGCCACAGTCGATCGCGATCTCGGCTTGCTGCATTCGCCAGGGGTTAATTCAGACATTAACTTCTCGGATATACAGTCCCCGCTCGATGCTTTGGCGGGACAAGGATTCGGGCGGCGAGCCGGAATGTACTCTGCCGTTTCTGACTGTTCAGAAGGCACGTATGGCGGGGACGCCAATCAGGGCCCAGCAGCAAGCACAGATCATCTGACACCTGCGGCGAGCATTCATGGCGGTGGAAAACCGGATGTCAAGGCCGAAGGGTCCGGGACAGCTCTTTATGCTGCTGAGGAAGGCTCTGCGCGCCGATTTTCAAGCTTCAGAAAGAAACTAAATTTGCCGCGCGAGTCGTATAATGCGGAAGAAGAGGACACACAGAATATTCAACTGGTGAGCAGATCTTATGTGCTCTGATGGTGACAATTCTTAGTAGCTGCCCTCTATTCTGCAGAATCTGGAGCGGTGGGCTGCGGAGGAACGCCAGAGACGGAAGGCTCTACGGTCATCCAGGTCCAACTCCATTTTGGGCAGTCAACGCGCTTCGCTCGGACGACGGATCAGCACACTCGGCCGTGCGAAAGAGGCGAGCAATACGAACAGCCTGCTGAGGATGTCGCATGGAGGCGAATCGGTTTCGAGTCTAGACTCGACGAACGACAAGGCCAATGGCCACATTTCCAGTGGCAGTCAATTCGGCGTGGAAAAAGGAGAGCACATTGCACGGCGCCAACTTGGGAGCGAAGCCCACCATGCAGGCACGGACATCAAAGGAAAAGGTCGCGCGACTGACAACCCATTCAGCGATCCCTCGGACCCAGAATACGAAAGCACGCTATCTCGCTCTGCCTCCTCCAACAAGCCGCGTCCGACGGCGCACCACCCGATCGTCACTATTGGTGGGACCCCCGTGGTGCGGCGGCATTTGGGGCATAGGATCGGTCCGGATGGACAAGAGCTCCCGTCGATCGTCTCAACGGACGCCGATGCAACTGGCAAATACGACATGAAGCGCGGCGGTGCGTCGTACGGAAAGTTGGCGCGCAAACCTGGGACCATCACGGAAGATGTGGAGGAGGACAGGCATGCTGCCATAGACGGAGATGCGGGTGCTGGGGCTGCGATAGCCAGGCAGATCGGCGAGCGCGCGCCGCCGTCCCGCAAGAGCACTGCGGACTCGCGTTTCAACGAGATCGACTTGGAGGATAACACGGAGGAGGAGGAGGATTCGCACCCACATGGGCACAGTGAGGAGCAAGGTGCCGTCACTCCGCGTCAAGTGCAGCTTGGTACGGGTCAGGGACGCGGTCGACACGGGCAACTGCACTCTAGACCCGCGGGGGCTCATGAGGAAGGTAGGCGAGTCGCCTGGTGGACGGAGTGGCTCTTCTGCTGCGGTGGTCCACCACCTGATGATGAGCAGGTGCGTTGCTGACTGATCGGCTTGCATACACTTCGCGACTGCGCTGACTGTCCCTCCCGCTTCCTGCCTGCTCGCCCGTTTGCTGGTGACTGCGAATTGGCATTGCCAGACCGGTCGGACGAATCCTCTGGAATGATCTTGGTCTCCCCGACTTTTCGACATCTCATTGCCTCATCTTGCGAGCTCCTGAAGACGACGCCGAAAAAGCGTCTGCGCCACCGTACTCATCAGGCGTGTATAGACATTCCGTATTGTCCTACTATTTCCACCTTTTTGGACAGCTTATGTATGTTGTGATGATCCAAGGCTGGTTTATCTCATGGTCGCAAGCTGTCGACCCGTATGCGCTTGCAATTTTCCCCAATTTCGGTCACATTTCGTATCGTGGTACAAAACGAGCTTGACTGGGGTTAGATATGTATAGGTTGTGCTGGGGTCTCAATGTCTCATCGTGTGGAGCTGTGCTGCTGTGAAGTCAGATTTGTGAAACAGCGAGGAGCGCGTTGAGTTCCGCAGAGGCTGGACTTACACGCCGTCCGCGACCAGGGATGTTGCGTCTCACCTAACCTCGAGTCCTCGCTTCAAAAGTCTCGCTGTCAATCCTGGAGTGACTTGTTGGTAATTCAGACGCTTGCGGTAGGGGAGAGATTACAAAAGGCAAGGCTATGTTAGCTTGTGTTTCGCCTTGGACTCTCCAGCCTCGCTCACTCTTTGCGTCATACCCTTTTAGGACGGATTGCTGGCGAATAAGCAAAGGTGCAGGACTAGGCGCAACAGCTGACAGCACGTCGCCTTGTCAATCATCGACATGATCGATGCGTCCAAGTGAGCGCCTTATAATCATCTCGACGTCAGGGAAGGGCCCCCGCAAATATGGCGAACTCTATGCATGTGGTCAGCATGGAGCAGGCCCAAGGCCCGGGCATGGGCATGGGTATGGGTATGGGCATGGGTATGGGCATGGGCATGGGCATGCGCGGGGATAATGTGGCAGTGGCCCAGCTGAGGAATATCCTGCACCCATCAGTGCCCAAGGTGAACAAATGTCCAGAATCGAAAAGGCGCTTCGGTAATTCCATATTGACGCATCGAATTATTCCATCTTGCGCCTACGCAGACAAAGCAGTACAATTTTCCGGCAAACGCAGACACAGATACGCTGCGAAACGAGATCGACGAGTTTTTCTCGTACGTCGAAGCTCCGCAAGTTGGCGAGAACCGCGCTGCCTGGGAAGAATGGTGCGACCTGCAGAGTGCAAAGAAGCCCCCTGCAGATACGCCAGCAGCTGCAGAGGAGGATGCTCGGAGAGCACACGAAGAGTCGGCGCTTGAGTTGGACATGCTGGGTTTGAAGCTTGACCCGGACGCGTCTACATCAGCGGGCAAAAGCAGAAGCTCGTATGGTGAGCCTGTCTCTGCCCTCTTGGTATGCACGAACTATCTTATTGAACGCGTTGTGCGCTTACAGCATGGACATCGCTCCCTTCATCGGTACGCCGTCAATCCGTCGACGCCCTTTTGACGACGCTCGAAGTCAAGGACCCGACAGTCCGTGTGAGGGCGTCGCGCGCCTTGACCTACCTCCTGCAAGGCAGCTTCGCCGATACAACTGGACCTGAGCACCAGCTGCATTGGATCCAGGAGAACGCGCGTATGGTCCGTATGGCTGGCGGTCTCGCCGAGATATTTGGTGCATGCAAGATCGCTTGCTGGAAGCATGACTATCTCAGCTCTCTGCCTGATCATCTAGTGTCGACGGATCCAGACGAGGCGGCAAAAGGGGACGCAGCGACACCTCTGCTCACGCCTCAGTCCAAAGCAGAGTACTTGGAGGAGATCAACCTCGAACTCACTCTCTATTTTGCCCAACTGTACATCCTCGTTGAGACGGGGCGAGAAGAGGAGGAGTGGTCTGACGAGCTGAGTGAGTGTGGTCCTAGTCATGAACCTCTCACTACAGCGCCATACTGACGAGACATGTAGTGAGCCTGGATCCGCCACTCCCGATATACCTGTTCAATCTGGTAGCTGTCTTGCGCGAGAAGCCAGCCAAAGGGTATCCAGTCAAAAAGGTGTGTCAAAAGCGTGCCAAAGCTCAGCAGGTGTGAAACCCCCATTGAAATCATCTACCCTGCACAGCTCCTCCTGCTCCTTTGGAAATCTCTGCTTGCCTGCTTCGGAGGCCTGGAAGACGTAGAACGCTGCAAAAAGATCGCGCGTGAGCTCGAGGGTCTGGGCCCTATGGCGGACTCAAAGCGTGAGTAGCCAATGGTCAAGCAGCAGCAACCGAGAAGAGGCTGAGGAACTTCTTCAATACCGTAGGGACGGTCACCAAGGCAACACCTTTGGACTTTCAAAGCTTCCAACAGGACATGACGACCAAGTTCCCGACATATGTCCCACCAAACAGGGCGATGGGAAGCCTGCCAGTCGACAAGCTCGCTTCGGCCATCCTGCCGATACCGCCTCGCCGCGGTTTCAGTACTGGCCAAGGTGATGGGGACATCAGGGATCTCGGTGGCGGCTTTGAAGCAACGCCGGCTCCGTCTCCTCACAATGCTACGCCCGCCCCAACGCCCCCGGCGTCGCCAAAGCCAAATAAGCAAAAGTACCAGACCGATCAGACTAAACCGTTCATCCTTCCGTACAGTGTGACTGTGCAGGGTGGGCGAATGGTCCCATTCAGTGTCGAAGAGGCTGCGCGGCTCTACAATAACCACATGCACATCAGCTTGGAGCTGTGGCAGATGTGGTTGCTACGGGAAGAGTGCATCCAGGATGAGAGAGGGGTCGCCGAAGGAGGAGCAACCTTCAAGGCGTTTGATCTCCCCGGTGGACCCACTTCCAGCCTCTTTAGGACTTTGCGGCAACGTAACGAGCCTTTGGCAAACAGCTTGCAGCTCAATGGCGCAGCCGAATTCGAACCATATGGCAGCGTTCCAAACGACGGCAGCTCGGACGGTTCTGATTCCTTCATCGATGTCTCGATGGGTAGCAAATCATTGAAGGGCAGAGGCGAGCCAACGCTTGCTTTGCTGCAAGTTATCGAAAGCGAACTTGATGTTGAGATCAAGAAGATCGAGTCCGACCACAGTCTCGCGGTTCTTGACAGCACGCGATACGTCACTACCATCGCTAAACTATGTCAGGTTCGAGCCGACGTACGCCGGTTGCAGCGGGTCGAACAGCTTTACTGGGCGGTGCTTCCAAACCTGCAAAGCTCGGTCATTGTCTTGCTCAAGCTCCTGCTTGCCACAGTGACCGCGCAGACAAGCACAAACAGCCCGCACGCACGCGCCGTGGCGGAAGGCGTCTCGCCCGATGAAGCGCCACCGCCTACGCTTGAGGACATCGACGTCGCACGCCATCGCGAGATTACGTCCAAGGCTGTCAGTGCAATCCTTGTGCTCTGCCTAAAATGGTTCAAAGCAAGTCACGCCATGAAGTTCCATTACCTCTCTCAACTCCTGGTCGATTCCAATTGTTTGCTGCTCATCCTCAAGATGTTCGGACTGCAGGAAGTCGCAAATTCGGTCAAATCTATCAATGAGGCGGAGCAGTTCAATTTCTTCAAATACTGCGAGACTTTCTGTGGAAGGAATCCACGGCTTCCCCAACCTGAAGACTCGGTCATCCTCCGCTCGAATCGTGGCGGTGCATCGGCCATCGCAGGCAGCCCCAACGAGCAGCTTAACATGACCAATAGCGGAGACGAGATCGAATACATCTCGGACTATTCGTGGCGCAACTTTTTCTCGAGCATCAATTTCACGCGCATCTTACAGAAGCTCACGAAGCGACGCGTACACCGCATACTCTTGCTCGTACAGTATAAGAGCTCGGCCATCCTCAAGCGCACGCTGAAAGTAAATCATCCCCAGCTTCAGCTGTATGCTCTCAAGGTTATCAAAAGTCAGGTACCTTTCTGCGGGCGCAAATGGAGGCAGTCCAATATGAAAGTGATCACAGCCATCTATCTCAATTGTCGGCCCGATCTGCGCGACGAGTGGCTTGCGGGAGCGGACGTCGATGCCGATGTAGACGTGTCATTGCCGCAAGAGCAGGCCTTGCGCTCACTACTCAAGTTCTATAATGCATCCAGATCTGGCAGTGGCACAGGCGGCAAATCCGGACAGGGTCAAGGAGCAATTGCGGCGCAGAACGCGGATGGAGGTCGAGGGGCACCCACAGGCGAAACGCATGATAGCGAAGCAGCACAGCCCATGTCGCCTGGGAGGTCTCCTAACGTCAGTTTCTTCGACAGTGACGTTCTGCCGCCCGTGCGACGCAATGCGGAGAGCACTGCAGGTACACTCCGCTACATCCCAGACGACGTCGTCGAGGGGTACTTGGACTCGTATGAGGACGTGCTGGGCGAGGTCTTCGGAGAAGGTGAACCAACGGATGGATGGAGCAGCGGCAAGTGGGGCTTGACGAAACACGGCTCCGAGACCGCCTGGGCTCGCCTGGGTGAAATTCTCGGCGACTCAGACTCGATCAGCGATAGCGAGTCGATCGCATCGATCGGTGACCTTGGTCTGCATGACGGTGCTGGTAGCGCGGGCGGCGAAGCGGGCGAAGGGGAACCGAGGCTGCGCGATGAGAACATGAACGAGTGGGAGCATCTCAGTCCGAAGGAGATGAAATTCCTCGCCAACAGCGCTCCTCCCCAACCTGGCTCTCCGCTCGCAGAGCGAGGCATGCGCCGCCGGCAGTCTAGCAATGGCTGTTCTGGCACCGGCAGCAGGTCCAATTCGCTTTCGTCGCCGTTGCGTCCTGTTCTGCCTTTTGGCCTGGACGACCTGTCGACCGACGATGCACTGGCGGTGGAAGATGAGCCGGAACCGTTTGCGCCGCAGCCATTGCCCCAGCCGAAAGAAGGCGGCATTGACGAGGTGAGCAGTCCTGCAGCACTTCCCATGCTGCCGCTCGAGTTTCCATCTGACCACATGCCTCTTCTGCGCAGGTTGAACACATCTTTGGCACGTAAACTGGAATTTTCGCAGCGCGATACGCTGTTACGCCAGCGCAGCTGTATGCTAAGGGTACAAGTGTATGCGACACTTATTGCAAGGGGTCTTGTCAGCAGCAGGAAAAGAAAGGGCGGGGGCCGCGTCTATGATACATGGAGGGTCGCCCACAGCAATGAAAGCGGCGGATCGCTTGCTTCCCATCACTGAGCTCCCACAGGAAGAAAATTGGCGGAACGGCTGTGCTTGAAACCTTGATTGTCATCGCTGACTGAGCGGAGAGCGAGCGCAAAGCTAAAAAAAGAGGGCGGCATAAGGTGTCAACGCAACGGAAGGAAAGGATGGGGATTTTGGTACGCTCCACGCTTCCGTGCTCACCCAGCGGAGAGTCACGTCAATGTTTACTTGGTTCTTGCTCGAGATACTGTAGCAGCTTACCTCGCGACCGGTGATCGTGTCGAGCCGCCTGGAGTGATCAGGGAATGCGGATAGCGTCAAAACACGATCAGCTTTGTGTTCATGCGCGTGATTCGACGAATGCCATACGAGCGAGCGCGAGCTGGGTACTCACATAACACGGATGACGTCATCCACGTGCGCTGCACTGGCAACATCATTCTTGGTCGCTAGCACGAGTAAAGGTATACCAGCCAGCTGCGGTCGCGAGATCAGTGCGTGGAGCTCATCCGTTGCGATGACCCATGGGTTGTGCAAGTGCATACTGGTGGGGCCAGAATCAGCGCCACCACTATCGCCCGCGCCAGTGGAAGCCTCTTTGCTGATCCCATCCGCACCATCGCCATTGTCAGATGGTAGCGGCAGTGCCGAGTCTACGACAAAGACAACCGCGGACACTCCGCGACAATATCGTTCCCACATGTTTCGGAATCTTGGCTGGCCTCTGTAGAAGATAAGGAAGGAGCGACCGGTGTCTCAGCTCGTTGTATCGCTTGTAACAAAGTGAAAGAGAAAGAACAACGTACCCGATATCCCAAACCTTGATGGTGGTATTCCCGCTCGATACTTTGCGCATGTTGAATCCAATCGTAGGCACCATCTCGGTGCTGAATTGTCCCAAGCTAAGCAGGTTCACCAGCGACGTCTTGCCTGCGGATTGTAGGCCGACAACGCATATCTCGAGGTGTTTGGAGAAGAGCAGAGATCGAAAGAATTGGATGATGGAATTCAGGATGGAGGTCATCTTGGACAGCGATCACACGCTATCGATGCCGCCTTTGCGAGTGTTATATGAGGCTTCGATCTGGCGTAATGCGGCTCTTTCTTTGATAGGATATTTGCTGGATCGTTATACGGCCCTGCCTGCAGGCCTGTCCTCGTCGTATGCCTTGTTGCTGGCGATGACTACCGTCAGGATGACACGCCTCGCTCTGTGAACCTGGCGCGTCTCTTGGCGAGTGGAACGCATTCAAGTCATCGATCGTTCGCTCAGACGGCCTATCCCGGCGTCGAGCGGAAGAAGCGTTAGCATTCGGGTGTTTACCCGGTCGATATTGACGACAGATTGACACTCGAGGGTGCAGAGGATGCGATGCGGGTCGCAATCTTGCCCGATACCGTGAGGGCTAAAACGTTGGTTGGCGGTGGCTGTTCGTATCCGTTGTTGCTGCTAGATGGCCATCCTGACTCAGGTTCTTGCTGTGTTGCAAGATGTGTGTGTGCATGTAAGTAACCCTATTAAGGTCCAATGCCAGCCTGTCAACAATAGAGATGAGAGCGACCTGCCACCTCATCTGTCACGGATTTAGATGGGCATTCGCCTCCAGCGTGACAGAGAGTGGCGCTGCGGTCTTGCGCTGTGCCTTTGCCAAACACGACCACTAGAGTGTACTTGCTGACGATTCAACCTTGACCGCTGTAGCATATGCAAACGGCCAGAATGCTTCGCCTCAATCCAGGGAGCTACGATCGACTCGCATTCGTACCAAGCAGCAGACATTGGATCCTCTTCATTTTGATATTCCAAGCCCATAGCACCCCGTCAACCAAGCGTGTTTGCTGAGGAGTTCCGTGCTGATCTGATCGCGTGACGCCATCATCGAATCGAAAGCCAACCGGAGCGCAACAACAGACTCAGCTTTCGACCCGAATCATCTACGTACCCGCGCGAGACACTCCGGTCTCCAACTCGAGCCGTCCCTCTCTTCGTTTCGAGCACTCACATCAACCCGCTCGCATATTCGGGAGCTTGTTGCGCCTTCGGTGCGCAGCATATCTAGTCCCAGCAAGATGAGCTCGCCCAAGAGACGGATCGAGACGGATGTCATGAAGCTGCTCATGAGTGACTACGAGATAACGCTCGTGAACGACAACATGCAGGAGTTTTACGTGCGGTTCCATGGGCCAGCAGAGAGTACGTGAGATGCACTGACAGCAAATTCATGGCTCGCGGGTTGACACAGCTCCCGATCTGCTAATCACAGCGCCATTTGAGGGAGGAGTGTGGAAAGTGCACGTCGAACTACCCGATCAATATCCATACAAGTCTCCTTCGATCGGTTTCATGAACCGCATCTTCCACCCGAACATCGACGAGTTATCAGGCTCAGTCTGTCTGGACGTGATCAATCAGACCTGGTCGCCAATGTTCGACATGATCAACATCTTCGAAGTCTTTCTGCCGCAGCTGCTGCGATATCCAAACCCAACGGATCCGCTCAACGGCGAGGCTGCTGCGCTGCTCATGCGCGAGCCAAAGAACTACGACGCAAAGGTCAAGGAGTACGTCAGGAAGTATGCGACAAAGGAGAGCGCAGACGCTGTTGGCGCGGAGGACGGCGAGGATGGGGAAGGCGAAGAGAGCGAGGAAGAAGAGATGAGCGACGTGGGCAGCTTCAGCGAGGAAGAAGCTGCAGGCGACATGGAGTTATGATGATCTTGCGCCTGCTTCGCCTCATCTCAGTCACCCAACCTATCTCCGCTGTGGCATGACTCGACAAACCCGCACACCACCCCCCGTCTCATCTCGGCATTATCCCCACTCTTCGACACGACCAGCACATACAGCATGTTCCCGTACACCGCGCACACCACAAGGTGTAACTTGCTCCATAGCCCTCACACTACGTTCTCCACCCAAGTTTGTCGGTCAGGCCGTGCTTCATCAACTCGCATGCGTTCGAGGTTCGCCCGACCCGCAGTCGCTGTCAACCTCTTCACGTTGCGTCCCGCTACGATCCCCCGCCTTACAGAGGCCGTCTGACGCGTGACCTGCTTCACACCCCATCCACGACTTTCAATCCTGTTGTACTCTCTTCACAGCTTGGTAATGAGACGATACTGATATACGAATGTTGCAGCGACCAGCTGTCCTTGACATTTTAACGCTACAACGTTGATACCTTGGCGCAGAGCAACTCGTCGGAGTCCATGAATTCCCAGCGTGCCGATCACGCCCAACCAACACTCAGAACGACACGGCCGACTCCCTGTTGTACCCGGTCGATCTCCTCCACCCACCCAGTTGCATCTACCTCTCCGCTCTTATGGATCTCGCCAGGGTCGGAAGCCCGCTGATGTGAGATCACTGCTTGCTTGAGCGCCTGCACGCCACCTCCGACTCCAAAGTACAGGACCTTGGCAGCTACGAGGCAAAGTGTGGATGAAGGGTGCCGTGGCTGCTGCTCGATCCTCGCGGCTCTCTCGCTCAGATATGTGCTCTCAAGATATCGCGAGACGCGCTGCGCGGAGGCAGAGGAGGCGAGCGGCGAGGAGCGTCGGCTGCACTCGGAGAGCAGTTGGACGAGCGACGGCAGTGAGTCGAGCGAGTAGATTGTCTCAGATGTCAAGATCAAATCGTATGGTGCTAGAGAAGATGGAACTGCAGTCGCCATCATCGCTGTAGGCATGTTGGATGCGTCTGGCATTGTTGCCCAACGTGCGGCTTGCAACCCGGCCCAATCACCAGCAAAGAAACGCAGCGTGATTCCGCGTGAATTGAGTGCTTGAAGGAAAGCAGAGAGAAGGTCCGGGTGAATGGGAACCTCGGCGGCTTCCTCGCCGTTCGCTGTCCAGTTTGAGGCGGTAGAGCTGGTTGTAGATTCGTCGTCGTTGCTCTTCTTGGCTTTGCTCGGTGCTATCGGGTACTTCTCTCGGATCAAGGCAGCGGCGTCTGAGAAATACCAGGCTAGCACGAGATTGGGCACTGTCACCTGCAGGTGCCCCGATGATGTCGCGATCAGCGGCGCAGAGGGCTATATTCTGAGGGCGTGCACGACTCACCAGCTGCAGCACCTGCAAATTGTAGTCGAGAAGAAACAGCTCTGTCTTGCCCTTCTCAAGCTCCGACGACCGTGCAGACTTTTCGTTCAAAAGAAGGCTCAGCAGAAAGGCAGACGGCAAGGCCGTGCCACAGCCAATATCCAGGATAGATGCACCGTGCAGATGGTGTTTTGCACCTTCACCATTTCCAAAGCGGTCATGAAGCACGGAAATGAGATCCATCGAGCATTCCCACGTCTTGAGACCCCCCTCGTATACACCCGGTGTCAAGTCGGTGTTCGCATCAATGGCTTCTACATGTCGAGAGTCCGAACTGCCGAATCTTTCAGAACCGAAGGCTTCAGTTTCGTCTTCATCGTTGTCGGCATCAATGTGGGCGGTAAGGAGCTGGAACCGCGCATCGAACAGATCACGCCTGCGAAGTATCACCCAGTCTTCCTTGACGGCAGACGGATCCGAGGGTCCATTTTCAGGGGCCTGAGACGGACCATGGGCAAAGGCCGAAGACTTGCGCAGAGGCACCGATAGGGAAGAAAAGGAGAGACGAGGTGGAAAGTATTCAAGCTGGCATGGGAGAACGCCCGTGATGCAATGTTAGAATACAATAATCATCAACACTGCTAGCGGTCGATTCACTAACAAGCTCTTCTAATGGAATCTCCAGACATTTTGCTTTCCCCTTTGCCTTGTCGGATTTTGCTGCTTGAGACACGGAGCCGAGCTGGGCGGATGTGGACGGCCCATGAGGGCCAAGAGCATCAGAGGACTCGTCCAGCTCCTCGTTGGCGAAATCGAATGCAAACGACATTTTGACCCGGGTAAAAGAGTGACTCGGTGCACTTTATACTTGCAAGGAAAGTCTCCAGCGGGTAGGTGCTCTGATAATGCACAGGTGGCTCGGGATAACATGAGAGAAGCCAGCCTGTAGTGAGCCCCTACTAGCATGGAGTTGATGTTGATGTGGGGAGGTCACAAAGACGTGAAAAAGTTGAGCGCCGCAGCCCAAAAATCTCTTGGTCGTTGTGACGTGAGCCTCACCAACGAGTGATGCCTGAGTGCTGGTGACGTTTTGTTGGTCCATTGAGGACATAGCTCATCCACTTGTGAGGCTGCCGTGGTTCATGGTTTACCATGCTTCGTCAATGATGAAAAATTGCCCCTTCTTGTCGCTCAGAGCTGGATAAATCCGACGCTTCCAGCGCTCGTCTCCGTGTACGCTTCAGGTTGGTCACCGAAACAACGCTGTTAGCAGCGCAAACTTACAAGCATGAAGGTCACATCACGGCATCTGGAGCGAGACGGGTCGGGCAAAGTGACCTTGATTCCTGAGGAAGAGTGAGTGTTTGAAGCCGCCAAGTGGCACTTCATGCTGAATATATCCTATGCACCGGAATTGTGAACGATAGTGAGGACATGTACCACTTGTACAATCTCATCGAGCAGGGCGATTCCATCCGTGCTGCTGCTGTCCGACGGGTCCAATCTGAATCAAGCACCGGCTCGATAGAGTCACACAGAGTTAAATTGAATCTCACTATCCAAGTCACAAAAGTGTCCTTTGACGCTACTGGATCCTCCGCGCCGCCAGACCCGCTAACAGGGTCGACGTCAGCTGCTAATGGTACACAAGATGATGTGGCTGCAACCTCCTCAGCAGGCGCGCTGGGCGGCGGCTCGGGAGGAGATGGTGTCACATTGCAAGTCTCTGGAAGGGTCGTCGAAGAGAACCAGCACGTCAAGATGGGAGCATTCCATACTCTTGACCTTGAGTGCAACCGACCGCTCACAATCACAAAGGAGACATGGGATTCCGTGCATCTGGAGCGGTTGCAAGAAAGTTCTGACGTAGGGCAAAGGGCAGAAGTCGGAGCGGTGGTGTTGGGAGAGGGTAAGTCCATGATGACGGTTGAGTTCGTGCTTCGAAGAGGTATGCTGACTATCATGCTCTCCAAGGGACGGCAATTGTGTGCTTGCTAACGGAACACATGACCGTCGTGCGGCAACGGATAGACGTTCCTGTTCCTCGAAAGCGAAAAGGGTTGCCCACATCTTCAGCGGACAAAGCGACTGGGCGATTTTACGCGCAGGTCTACAACGCAGTGCTTAAGCTCTTGCAGCTTCCAGCCATTCGCTTGATTATCCTTGCAAGTCCAGGATTCACCAAGGACAGCGTATACGATTTTCTTCTGGCCGAGGCGACAAAGCGAGGCGACAAGGCGCTAATAGGCAGCGAATCGAAGCGTAAGCTGATCAAGATCCACTGCAACAGTCCACATCTCCACTCCCTCATGGAGGTAATACGCAGTCCGGAGGTCAGCGCACAACTGAAGGACACCAAATTTGCGCGCGAAGGTGCGCTGCTCGACAAATTCATGCGTATGCTCTCGTCCGATGAGCACCGCGCTTGGTACGGCGAGAAGCACGTGTTGCTCGCCGCATCGCGGGGAGCCATCGGCACGCTACTCATCTCCGACGGCCTCTTCCGATCAGCTGACCCGGCGAGGCGGAAAATCTTCGTGCAGCTCGTAGAGGACGTGCGCGCGCTAGGTGGTGAGACAGCTATCTTCAGCTCACTGCATGAAAGCGGTCGTCAACTCAACGGCCTTACGGGCATCGCCGCCATCCTCACGTTCCCGCTCGACATCGAGATGGTAGAAGAGGAGGAGAGAGAAGCGGCCAAGGCGGAGGCTAGCAAGGCGAAAACCGATGCAACGGACGAGGATGGCCATCCGCCACTTAGACCGAACCCGAACCTGTCTTAGCGTGTCATATATGTGCTTCGTGGTCTCTTCATATCGTAATGTTGCGGACCGGCCGCTCAACCCTCATTCGTTTACATGGATACTTGCAGACAGCACTAGAGATACAGAACAGACGTCAATTGCTTAGCAAGAGCAAAGAAATGCAAAGGGAAGAAGGAAAATTGCAAAGGACCAAAAGAAAAGCCTTTTAGGGCCCAGCAGCGAGCCTCGCCCGTTTGGAGGGCGATTCTTGCTTGGAAGGGTCGTCCTTTGAAGCGTTGGAAGTCGAACGCGGTCTACCAGATGCCTTGTTAGCAGGCGAGGTCTGCACCTCGCTCTGCAGCTGAGTCTCTTCATCGCCGTATGTCAGAGGCCCACGTTGGAAGACGTACGCAGTAGCATCCGACTCAGCCACGTCGGTGAACCGTCCAGCCTTCTCGTTGTGCCGACTGGGCGTGCCCATCCCCATCCCTCCTCCATTGAGTTCCGATGGGAAGGGGTCAAAGACACCGGTGGCAGAAACTCCGCGCATGCGCGGCGTGCGCCGCGAACGCGGCTGCGGGCTGGGGCTGACGTTGAGGAAATCAGCGTAGCTGAAGTTGGTGCCGGGTGCTTTGGGCGTGCGAGGAGGGCCGCCTGGTGGCGTGGAAGGCAGAGGAAGGAGCGCGTTGGCGGAAGCGTCGAGCACATCGCTCGCCATCACGCAGTCCTCTGGTATGACATCAGAGGCGTGGGGAAGGCGCGCAGAGGGAGGGACCCGAGGAGGTGTCTGTATCTGCCCGCTGTTGCAGTTGTCTTTATTGTTGCTCTCACCATCGCTGGCTGAGCCGTCCTGCGTATTGGACGCGGAAGATGAATTGACGGGTGTGGTGTCGGAGCCGATGGCCGCGGAAGGTGCCAAGCTGAGCATCGTCGTATCAGACTCCTGCGAGTTGATGAGGTCCTTATGTGCTCTATCATGTCGTATATTCTGCGCCCCCAAGCCGTCGAGCAGCGGGTCTACATCCTGGAACAACGACCGCGCGACTCCACTACTATCGATGCGCTGTCTTCGCCCGTTTCCGAGCAGGCTGGGCGTGGCGCCTGCGAAGCGGCTGCGATTCTTCGTGTCAGTCGCTGGGGACGGCGACGTGGCGAGAAGAAGCATGAGTTCTGCCGCTTCGCCTTCGTCTGGCTCCGCCTGTGCGCGCTCTTCGTTCCGCGACTTTGAACCCGAGCCCAGGCCAGCAGTCGAGGTAGGGCCAACAGGCTCGCTCCTCGCATCGCTGAGAGTCGCGCTTCCGTTGATGCGCGGCGACCCCGGGAAGGACTTGCGATGCGCGGCGGGCGACGCGGTCAGTCCCGAATGACTCCCTCCTGCTGTGAAGGCAGCGAATGCTGCGGACGAGGTGCTTGAAGCAGAGCGAGGCGTCATACCGTGTGGCGACGGTCGCGCAAAGCCCAATTCGATCGACGCTCCGAGGCGCCCGCTCAGCGGTCGCCGCGGAGACGTGCAAAGCGCCGAAGGGGACTGTCCGCCGCCAGCGCCACTGCCATTGGCCATGCGAGCCGAGCTGCGCTCGTCGGAGATCGCAGCAAGAAAAGATGCGACGCGATCGCGCTCCGCTGCGTCTTCCGCTGCTGTGTCGCCGCTGTTGACAAGGCTGTTGATACTGCTGCTGCCGCCACTGGCGTCGTGGGGCCCTTGATGCTGGAATCGCACGCCGTTCACCGACGTGTTGCGCGATCGGGACAGAGCGGCACCTGCACCCGTGGGATGGGCGATGCCGAGGTCCTTGGCGAGCGAAGAGGCGGGATGGCCATTGGGAAGAAAGGCGAGCGGATCTGGCGTGTTTCCTCCTGCACCGCCGCCGGCGCCTAAGAGCGCGACATCGCGGCTACTCGTGCGCATACGCCCACTTGCAGAGCGCAAAGGGCTGCCGGCGCTGGACGTGGCTGACGAGGGTGTGGATATGCCGAGGCCGGCGAGCCCGATGCGCTTGTGGCGCGGCGAGGGCGTCTTGGTCGGAGTCGTGCTGGCAACAGCAGCGGCGCTGGTCGTCGCATTGGACGAGGGAGCGCTGCTGATCGCACCGGCGATGGCGCGATGGTTGTGCCAGCTCGTCTGCCGGCGAATACCCTGGTTGCTGTTATGCGGTGGGCTGCCGTGCCAGAACGTCGGCCCATAGCCCTGCGCATACCCTTGCGCGTAGCCGTGCAGGTGCGGGTACGGTGCATGCTGTGAGCCGTCCGCGGCAGTGACAGCCGCGGTACCTGCAACGAGCGGGTGCTGTTGCCCTGGTAGAGGCTGCGCGTGCTGCGGCTGTGCGGCGTGGTACGCTGGGCGCTGACCAGCGATAAAGTTCGGGACCTGATCGTCCGCGTAGCTCTGTCTACGTTGCCTGAGCGCCAGCTCACCCTTCATACCCAACTGCATACCCGCCCGCATCCCCAACGCCTCGCGCGGCACATGCTGCTGCTGCTGCTGACCATGATGGTGCTTCTGGTGAGGCGAGAGTTGCGGCAACGGTGCGAAAGCGAATGCGAGCTGCAGTTCCCGCTTGCGTTGCTCCTGCGTCGGGTGGTTGTGCGGATCGAAGCGCGGGCCGCCCGGGCGCGACGGCGAGCCGAGCTGGGGACTGGCTGCTGCGCGGCTAAGCAGCGACGCCGTGCCGGTCATGTCTGAGTTGCTCGGCGAGCTGGAGGCGGTGTTTCCAGCACTAACAGCAGTCGATGAAAAGGGCGAATTGCGCAGTTGTTGCGGAGCGCGCCGCGCTTGCGACTGTTTTTGGGGTTGTTGCTGTTGTTGTTGCGTTTGAGTAGCGGTCAGAGAACCGCTGATGGAACCGGGAGGCGTCGTGGGCTCGATGTGCAGCTGCTTGAACGCGGGGCCAAAGACCGTCTCGTAGATGCTGCGCTGCGGCTGGCGAGCGGGTCGCGCAGCGCCGGCTGCTGTCGTGCCGGACGGTTGGGACAAGCCGGCTGGCGAGCCCTCGTGCCGGCCTTCTCGGTCTGCGTTCGGTTGCGCGTGCCCGTTGGGCATCGTGCGCGACTGGCGCGGCGGCGTCCTCGGGACGCGCACGGGTGGCCTGCGGCTCGCGCTGCGATGCTGATCTTCCCCGCCGCCGCCGCTGCTCTTGCCGTCGCTTGCTGGCCCAGTCCCGGATGCGCTGCCGGAGAAGTCGGCGTCATCGACCGCCATTGCCCTCGCCGACGCAGATGCCATGGCCATGGGCCCGACGTGCCCGACCCAGCCGGCGTGCTCGGCGGCGTGCAGGGAGGACATGGTGACAGCGGGCGAGAAGGCCGACGAAGCGGCGGGAGACGCGGCGGAAGCGGCTGACGAGGAGGTGGAGGAGAAGGATGACGACGAGGAGGAGGATGAGGAGGAGGGGGAGGATAGAGCACAGGTGTGTGCGCGCTCGGCGCGCGCGGACGCGTTCGCGAGCAGGTCGTCGATGCTCGCTGCTGCTGCTGCTATTGCTTGGATGGGCGCTGCTGCTCGTTCGGCCGAGGAGAAGGACGCAGAGGCTGGTGGCAGCTTCGCTGGTGTGCGACACGACGCCGGTAAAGAGTTTCCATTCGCTCCGTAGGAGGATTGGCAATGAGAGGCGGCGGAAACGGGGAGGATGGAGCGGGCGCTTTGCATGCGCCGACGCGGCGGATCATCGCTGCTCACGTCGCTCGTGAATGTCGGCGCACTGCTGCCGTGGAAATGGTTGACAGCTGCGCTCGACCGGAACAAAGGGGATACGGGCTGCTGCTGCTGCTGGTCTGTGGATTGGATAGAGCGGAAGAGCGAGGGGGCGGCTCGACACGTCGACTTGGCTGCGAGCTGCAAGCGCGAGCGCAGTGCTTGAGCAGCCTGGGTCAGGTCGCAATTATCAGGCAGGAGCAAGAGCAAGAGCAGGAAGAGGTTTGGAGCGTCAGTACGGCACTGGACACTACGGAAAGCGGAAAGCGGTGGTGCACCTTCTCGACTTGCATGGAACTCAGCTTCTTCGGGCCGTTGCCATTCACTGATTCCCAGCCGTGCTCCATCTGGAGCGAGGGTTCGGTGGCGAGGGCGTCCATGACGACGCTGCGTGACGGGTGCGCCATCGCCGGCTCCAAGGAGAAAGGGGGACTTGATTCTGTTCACAGGCAGTTCTGACGCTCGGCTTCCTGCGCAGCTGAGGCCTGATGGATGGGTGGGCCGAGTGGTTCACGCTCGAAGCTGCTGCTGCTGGCGGTCGATGGATGGCCACATGTATGCCATGTGCTATATGCAATGTTATGCTATGCAGTGAAGACGGGCGGCACCTGGGCCTGAGCCGCTTGCTATGCGATATTTTCTAGCAGGCCCCGATCCACTGCCTGCTGTCTGTGCCAGCAGGTGGATCAGATGCTGCGACCTTTGCGCGATGGATCGCTCAAGCGCCGGCGAAGCGCGCGTGATCACGGACGGGATGCTACCCGCGCACCCAGGGGACGGCGTAGGCGTTCGACGGCAGCGACAGGTGCGTGCTGTTTCTGGATGATGATGGATACGGGTGGATATCCCAGCAGGCCTCACAGGAGGAGCGCAGGTCGAAGGGCGGGGGTGCCGAGTTCCGAGCTCCGATGCATGGTGGAAGGGGAATGAGGGATGGTCATGGTGGGGATGTACGATGATGCTGCATCGGGGGGGGGCAGTGTGACACGAAGGTGATATGGGGGAAGGAGGCAACTCTGTGACTGCTGCTCGCTATGGAATCAGCTGTTGGCGCGCGTGTGATCAGTTTGCAACCCTCCCTCGCAGAGCAGACAAGACACTCTCTGCCATCCGCAGCACACTGCTTCAGTGCCTAAAGCCTATAGCGACGCGTCATCGTGACGCGCCTGTCCTGCCTGTGCGCGACGCGACGCGAAGAAGAAAAGGGGAGAAAAAATTTGCACCACGCGGTGCGCCGCGTGGACGGTTGAGTGCTGTATTGTACAATACGTATGTACGCTGTGCTTCTGTTTGCTGGGGGAACTGCTCTCCTGCATCCTCAGCTCGGCTGCCCTGTTCATCAGTTCGGCCATCAAGCATGTGGCTGGCGCCACAGGCCTGGCCCGTCACCGACATCATCGCAGAGTCAAGTGCAGGGGCTGTTGGCCTGGAGGAGACAAAGCCCTCCATCTCCCTACCCGCAGCAGGGAGCCAGGTATGGCATTCTGTAATCAAGTGCACGAGTGTAGATGGAACGGAACGGTTCAAGCCCCGCACCACCAGTGCCGCCGATCATTACTCATTGACTGGTAGGGCAGGTTACGAGAGTCGGATTTGCACCCAGCTTCCTCAATCCTACACGTTTACTTCTCTAGTTTTGGACTCCGGCTGGTTCGAGTTGAGCTCGTTCCGTTTCTAGACACCATCGAAAGGCCGCGGAAAAAGGAGGGGCCAGCCCGGCCAAGGAACGAGGCGGAGTAGTAATGTCGACATGCACACGCGAGAGTGCACTGTTTAAAAACATTGGTCTATGTGGGCAAGCTCTGCACGAATCATGTATCGTGATGAGACATATGGATGGAGTTGCGTTGTCTTTTCACATCAGCTCGATCCTCCCACGATCCAGCAAATGCCGCACGGTGCTATAGCGCAGCAGATGCACAGACCCCTTTGTCAGCTCGGCGTGTGAACCGCTGTGAGAGAGTTTTGAGCGAACAGCACAAGTCAGCAAAGACGTTTTGCAGGGGCGGCTCACGTCCCACACCGCATCACACGAGGCAGCCTCACTCCAGCAAAAACAGATTACCGCACGCAGCCTTGCAGCGGATAAACACCGGCGCTTCCAGGTCAGGCTTGATGACTGTTCATGGAATGCAATACAGCGGTGAGCCTTCCGCAACCTCCAAAAGCCAGGTAGACGGGAGAGAGATTGAGACGCACCCATGTCCCCAGAGCTGCACGCCTCGATCGCCACGTCCTCCAGACCGCGAAGCTTGGGCGGCAACGCGTTGAGCACAGAAACTTCAAGGTGGTCCACGCGCATTTCCTCGAATCTGTGTTGGCCATGGTCGCCACATAAGCTTCATTGCGATCCTCACACACAGGATGCGTAGAAAGAAAAAATCTTACCTAGTCACATATGCGCGCTCCAACTCGGATAGTTTCCGAAGCTCCGACGCAGTGTTGGCGATGTATTGCGAGTACTCTTCGATCTAAAGAAGCGGGCGCAAGTGTGAGCGCATCGAGACAAAGGTGCATTCATACCACTCAGCAGGACCGCCTTGCACGCACGCACCTTGCCTAACCGCATGCGCAGGTACGCTCGAAGCAGCCATTTCGCCCGCTCAATGTCCAGCGTGACCAGACTGAGTCGAAAGTGCTCTTCTTCCGACGTCGATTCGTCCGACGCCAGGCTCTCCAAGATGGACTGCAGCGCGGCGCGCAAGCAACGCCAAGGGGAAATTGAGAGTTGGGATGCGTGTCAGTCTGGCCCGGGCACATCACTTGGTGCCCCGTCTGGTGAAGCCCCTTTGCGTTGCCGCTTGTACACACCTCCTGCTGCCCAATCTGGTCAATCACACCGTCGTGCGCCTCCTCATCGAACGGCCGCAGCTCGGGACAGCATTTTTCCGTGACCCATGCATCGCGCAGCTTCTCGATGAGCGTTTTGCGTCTGTCTGCCTCGTCTGCGTCGGCGCCGCGTGTGCCTTCACCGTCCCCGCCGTTGCCCATCCCGGAGCCTCGGCCCGCGTGCGTGTCGAGACCGGCGTCGGAGCGGAAGCGATATGCACGATCGCCCCTACCGGCTGCAGAAAGGTCGTCGTCCTCGTCATCTTCATAGTCGCCATGGCTGTTCGGCTCAGCACGTCGCCCATAACCTGCTTCTGTCCCTGGGTCGCCCAGTCGCGACCCCAGCGCGTCCAGTTCACGATCTCCATCTCTGATGTCACTGAGGATTTCGTCTAGCAGCGGATCCGGATCACCCATCGGTGCTACCCATCCTCGTCTCTGCCTTTCTATCGAAACAGTAGCGCCTCTTCGTGATGGCGACAACAAGCCGTCACCGCCGCCACCCTCACCATCGAGGCGTTGTATTCGCCGCTGCTCGACGTTGCTTCGTCGCCGCGGCGACGGGCTGAGGATGTCGCTTACGTTGCTGCCTGTCGCTCTTGCTGCCACACGTCGGGGCGTTAGAACCACATCTTCCCTGTCGGCGCCAGACTCCGAGCTTTCGCCCCTCGAGCCCAGGCCGATACCGAACAGGTACGGATCGTCGATATCTTCGTCCATTCGGCTGAGCGAGCGGGCCACTCTCGGATCAGCAGCCCCTTCCGCTGTGGCCATCGCGTTTCGCTGCGCGGCGCGGCCTGCAAAAGGGTGCTGCGAGTCGTCATCCTCGTCGTCTGAGTTGATCGCGTAGCGAGTCGCCATATCGTGTTCCTGTCCCAACCCGCGAGCGCGCTACGGTGCGTTGCTGTCGGAACTGGGACGGGGATCGACCTCCCTGGACGCTGGCTTTAGCAAGCGCTTGTCGAGAGGGCCGGTCTGTGTGTTGCTGCAGGTTACATATATCCAAGATGGGGTCTGTGATGGATAGCCTGGTGCAGCAGGGCCCCTGCAGGAAGATGCCGCCTTCCTGGGTATTGAAGTTATCCACGAACATCGTCCATCATCGATTGAACCCGCCAGCTTCTCACAGCGTTGTCTCTGCTGCGGTCAGGTCGAGCGTGTCGCGTTTCTCATGGTGAGTCTCTCAGCGTGCTTCGAAGAGTGCAGCGGCTTTAGGGTTGCAGATACCCTATACTCTGCAGTTGCACAGCCATCTTACGGCCGAGACGGGTGTCTCGCTCCTGTGTACGCGCGGCTGGGCCACCTGGTTGACTAACCTTCTCTCTTAGCCTGTGCACGCGTTCCACTCCACAGGGACGGCCAGACAGACCCTAACTGGCTTGGATGCACACAGCTGTGATGCTTAGCGTTGTGTCCCATGCTGAAGCCCAGCCATTATCACGTTTCTGCCCCCCCAGAATGCACAGAATGCACTCCTTCGAAGGCCTCGTAGTAGCCATAGAGTAGGGAGAGAAGCTGCGACGACGCACAGAAACATCAAGAAGCATTATCATCGGCTTTTTGCTTGAAGTCAACCTACAGTGCTGCTCCGTGCGAAGAACGCCTCTCCCATCACACCTTGAAGGCCCTTCATCCGCGCGTTCGCCAGCGATAGATCCGAAAGTAACTCCCGCGTCCGCTTATCGAACCCATGGGTGATTAACAAATATGCCGCCCAGAAAAGTGCTTCCACTGTCGAGCCTGCAGCCTCGAAAGGAGGATGCAACCATTCCCATGACTCCTGGCTCCTCCGCCTTTCGACCGTCTTCCTTCCGCCCCAAGTCGGTCCTGCTCGTCCTCAGCGGCGGATCCAGCGTCAAGGCGACCGATCAGGCGCTCAACACTTGGGCCGCAGACGGCTTTGGCAGGAAGATCGATGGGGAAAAGGCGCCAATCGACCAGTCGGACGAACGCGAGCGGAAGAGCAAGGAGGGCGATGTCACTGCTAAGCTCAGCGCCGTCGTCTACGAACTGCCAAAAGGCGAGCAGCCAAATGCCGTCAACCAACTCCGGGCGGCTAACAAGGCACTGCACAACCTTCCCATAACAACCATCGTGCAGCTCAGTGAGCCGAAACTTCCTGCGACCCAACCGACCCCCGAAACGCTTGCACTCGCCTACCGCGTCTCGCTCCCCGTTCTCGGCGCATCGCTCAAGGCGGACGAGAAGACATGGCTGGATCTGATCGAGGCCGCCTCTCAGAAGGATTTGGTGCTCGAGCTCGAAATCGCAAAGGATGGAGAAGTCAAAACTGGGGAGGAGAAGGGTCTCGAGCGAAGGCAGGAGGAGCTGGAAGAGTTACTTGGGAAAAGCTACGAGGCAGAGATGGGTGAGCAAAAGGGTGACTTCCAGGACGAGAATGGACAGGTCGACTTGAGTAAAGCTACCAAGGGTGTTCGCATCGTGCTGGGTGAGTAAGAGTCTGTGAAACGTGCAGGGGTGTGTGCGTGCTGAAGAGCGTGATCGTATCGCATTTCCTTGTAGACAACTTGGCTGGTCCACCCAATCTTCCAAGCAGTCAGCTTCTCCGCAGCAAGTCGCTGGAAGAATGGACCGGCTTCATCTCGCGCATAGCATTGCACCCGCGAGTTTACCTCAAGCTCTCACCTTTGCTCTTCCCGAGCGTTGTTCCTCTCCCGTCGCCATCCTCGTCGAATCCGATCGCGAAGGCTGCTTCCTCTGCGCTCCAGACCGCCTCGAACTTCGCATCGTCCGTCGATATTGGAAGCTCATACGTCGAACGGCGTGTCGAATTGCGCAGGCGCCTGTGCCTCCTCCTCAACATCGCCTACGAGGCGTTCGGAGAGGACAGGATTATCTTTGCTACCTCGCTCGACGGCTGCGGCGTCAAGCCGACAAAGGGGTCCGCGGAGGACGGCGCACCGCCTCCCCCTCGCGGAACAGACATCAGCGTTTCCGCTGATGACGAGCTGACGACCAGTCCCGCGGTGCAGACCGAGGGCGAGTCAGAGGCGAAGGAGGAGCTCTCGGCCGCAGAGGAGTGGTACGAACTCTGCAGGGAAACCTTCCAGCAGATTGGTCTCGGTGACGAGAGTCTTGACAAGATCTTCAACGAGTGAGTGTGCTCTCCATCATTGCGGTTATTGATAAGCAAGTAACGAATCATGAATATCTGTATCCTTCCCATTACAGAAATGCAGCCTACGTCTACCGCATCTGATGCTATCTATGAGAGAAGGCAATACAAGGCTACATCACATGTGCGCTAAACTTATACACTGTTGTTAAACGCCGTTAAGTGCGAATCTATTCGTAGAAGTGGAACAATGTCATACATACCTTGCTGCACACGGGCGATTCATGATCACGTTTCAGACTTCCACTCGAGGGACGGAACGCAATGAAGGGCCCGAAGATCTGTTCCAATACATCACGCCAGACTTGCATCCTACAATACATTGATGGACCAGAAGCTTAGAAACGACATGCCACTATGAAAGTCGCGACAAGATAAATGGATTGTGCAACGAGGCATTGCGACCCTGATCAAAAACGATATAACGCGAAGGTTTATTCGTCTGTCACTGACCGCACCCAGCCCCATCGCTCGCCCAAAAAGACATCTTACTCTCCGATCAGTATGACGACCTGCTACAGTCCTGGATGAGCGCTGCTTTTGACGGCAGGCTTATCTGATGAAGAGGCGCTTTTTTGAAAGATCGGGGTTTTGCGTCTATCTTTGAGACGCTAAGCGTTAGGGAGAGGAAAAAAGAAGAGGAAGGAAGGAGAAGCAAATAATTAAATAATCGTGCAGAGAACGGGTGATGGTGACCTGGCGGGAGGTGGAGGCACAGAATATTCTTTTCATGAAGAGCCAAGGCCTCTCAGCAAATCTTAGGGTTGGCACCTTGGCCATTGCCATATCCATCTTCATTGTCATTACTTAATCGCGTGCATGACGTTGTCTCACCAACCTCTCACTCCACATGCCATTTGCCATTTGATCTCATTCAAGACCTGCGCTTGGGCGACTTTCGCCCGTCAGCGCAACCGCCCCTTGCTCCGTTGCGTAGAGCAAGATGGGCTCGGGTTTCGGCTCGCTTTACGGCGCCGGCAAGCGCGCCCTCGCCAACTTCCCGTCCAGTACATCTTTGAAGGCACTTGGCGGCGACCCGCAGGCATCATCATCGTCCCCGGGAGCTGATGCGGAATTCGCAAGAGCAGGTGAAGGTGCACGGGTTGACAACATGCCTTATCCTTCATCGTCATCATCAGGTTCAGATGCTGGACCGTACGGAAAGCTCCTGTCGCCGCCGCGAATCGCAAGGCACAATGTTATCTTGGCGGGTCTACGACGGAGTGGCAAGTCCTCCATTCTTAAGGTAGTCTACGAGCAGCTCTCGCCATCCGACACACTCTTCCTCGAAAGCCATTCGACAGGCGTCAAGGGCCGCTGGACCACCTTCCATGTCGACTGCTTTTTGCCGCTCAGGATATGGGACGGGCCTGGACCGTTGATCGGTGAGGGTCCAGGCGCAAGAGGGCGCGGTGCGGTTTTGCGTGATATGCCCGCAGACCAGGACGAAGCAGCTTCCAGAAAAGACTTTGAGGCGGAGGCAGAGAGCACTGCGGCCGAAGTAAAGGAAGGTAAACTGAGGTGGAGGGATGTAAGCACTGTGATCTTCGTGATAGATGCTCAGGTGAGCTTTTGAGTGCACTGACGACCATTACGAACATATTTTCCTGACACTAGCCTATGACAGGACGACTACTTTGACTGCGTCGCGCGGCTGCATGAACTCATTTTGAAAAGCTTTGCGATCAACCCGTTTATCGAATACCATGTCTTCGTGCACAAGGTTGACGGTCTTAGTGACGACTATAAATTCGGTGGGTGGCCTATCGTGCTAGCATAGAGGCGAATGTCCATCTGACCGTCGAATTTGAGTGCAGATACGCAGCGCGATGTAGAGCAGCGCTTATTGGATGACCTGGCCGATGCATCTGGTAGCTTTGCCTTTGTCCCTGGCGCGGCGGAGGAAATGGCAAAGGCTGCGCAAAGAGGCCATCAAGTAGGCCCACAAAGCTTCGGACTAGAAGGCGTCTCGAATTCGAGGGAGATATTCCCTCTGGAGAGCAGCGTAAAGTTACACTTTCATCTGACATCCATCTTTGACAACTCGGTGTTTGTTGCATTGTCCAAAGTGCAACAAAGCCTGATGGAGGGCGCACTCGCTGCATCACTCGAGTCAGCATGTGACAGCATCTGCGGGGTGAGTGTAAATGTCGCACTTGCGACCATGGGGGCAGCTGATCTGAATCTTGTGCTCAACAGTCTTGTCGCTTCGACAAAGCATTTCTGATGGATGTACCATCACGCACATATATATCCTCGGACTCTACGCCATTTGAACCCACTTTGTTCGACATGGTATGCGAATATGTCAACTTCCTTTTACTTTTTTCCGACGTCTACAGTGACCTTCAACCGCCTGCATCATCCTCACCTGCCACAACGACAGCATCAAGCAACGAAGGCCAAGCCAAACAAGGCAAGTGGGCTAGTAGCGTGTGCAAACTCAACCCGGACATTAGCGTTTGTTTCTGGCAAGTCGACAACAGGCTCGCTTTGATTGCCATCATCAAGTCAGATCTGCAGGCGCGCAATGCTGGCTTGATCGACTACAACGTCTCATTCTTCCGTCGGGCAATTATCCAGATCGCGCAAGTAGCCCGCTCCGCCTAACCCATAAGCACGGCACTCTTCGAAGCGGGGCACATCGAACTGCGGACTTTCTTTCTCGGCTCACTTTGTAAACTAGGCAACCCGGTGTATGCATCTTTCCACACGGACTGGTGCTCGAACGGCCAGCACAAATTCACCATGTGTATCGCAGATAGGTTGCCTCTGAGTGCCAGATACAATAGACACTTACATGACGATGCACTGATCGGCATCCCCAGTAGCTTGCTTTGCAAGCTCCCGCGTGAAGCCTGCGTCTCGGTAAATGCCGGCGCCGCCTCCTCCTCCGGAGATATGCACGACGACAACGCCAGCATTGTGTGGATCCATCTCCGCGCTGAGGTGCAGGCTGTGTGTAATAGCAGAGGGAGAGAGCGAGGCGTCGATCAGTTACACTATGAGATTCTTCGTCCAATCAAGACGTACTCTTGCATGAGCTTCTCAACAGCAGGCCTGATCTTGGCGACGTGCTGAGCGCTATGATTGCCCTTGCCCGTAATCACACGTAGGTCGGGTATGCCTTGGCGTTGTGCTTCCTTGATGCGCACCTCCGTTCGCTCGATAGCTTCTTGGACGTACAGTCCGTGCAAGTCTGCAGGGTCACAGAAAACAGCGAAAGTGAACAAAGATTACTTGCGAAAGAAATCTTGGCCTCAACGTACCGATCTCATTTGGTGCGCTGTCTTCATTGTTGGCCTTGAAAATCCAGTCTGCGGCCTCCCTGTTCAGGCTCTCCATGCGTTCTTTGTGTTGGTGGCCCTCATTACTCAGCTCCTTCGCCCTGGCACGGTCACCAGCCGAATAAGCTCTATGCGACTCATCAAAGCATTTCGCCATCTGGTTCCCCTCGGATTGCGCGTTGGCGCGAAGCTGCCTATACCGCTCGTCCTTCTGGTTGACCTCATTATCGTGGTAGTTCGGGTGGTTGGGCTTGATGCCCGTTTGCGGGACCGGGAGGGAAGACGAGGGAGGCCGGTAATGCCCCTGAGGTGGTGGATGGTCGTATGAAGGTCCTCCATTACCCCATGCCTGAGGCTGCACTTGCTGAAATGGCGGTTGTTGCTGTGGGTATCCGTACGGTTGTTGTTGCTGCTGGGGGTATCCTCCGCCGCCCCCTGCGGCACCAGCGTAAGAGCTGTATCCCTGCTGCTGCTGCGGATGTTGTTGTTGCTGTTGTTGTTGCTGCTGCTGCTGCTGGCTCTGGTGCTTCTTGAACCATTTGAATGCCTTTTTGGCGAGCCGGATGATCTGGCCCTGATGCTGGTTCAGGAATCGGATGATATCCACCATGGCGACAGGAAGTCCAACCCAGAGGAGAGATACGGGCGAAGTGATCGAGCTTACGAAAGGACGTTTGGGCGGGCGGCTCTCGATGCTACCGAAGGCGCGCGTGGACTGACACCACGTAGTTTGCAGGGTCAGGGGGGTGAATGTGATTAGCCCTCCAGCTCTTCACGGTCCTGCGGATGGAGTAGAATAACTTTATCACAGATCATGGTGCAAGAGTCTGAATATGCCTCTCAACCCTTTAAGCAAAGAAAAATGAAGCAATTCATCCATCCGCCTCTTCGGCCACTCCGGCACATCTCTTCTCAGCTCCCCCAATCTCCAAGTTCGCCCTGGCTCCTACTGGAGGCGCAGAAATCATGATCACAGCTGTGGTAGAGGCTCGAAAGCCCTGATCAGACCACATGTTGTTCTCCTTAGCACCCTACGCAACACCGAAGCGATGCCGTGGGCGGTTTGATCGTGGGCAGTACCTGACGATATCAATCGGTTACATCAAATACGTGGTTTTGGTATCTGCTCATGTAGATGCTGCTGTTGATCATTTGGAGTAGGCCCGACATCTCCTCCACTGTTCTCCTCCCGGCTTTGGCCTTCGTCTTCTTTTTCGACCTCCTCCCCTTCATCGAAGCCAGTTAAGTAACCTCTTTGACCCTCATTGGCTTCCTGCTCCCTCGCAACTTTCTCCTCTTCCCTCAACGCGTCTCTGTCCCTCTCATCACTCTTGCTCCACATTCGGTACTCCCCTACCTCTTTCTTCGTCTCTCCATGTACGATCCACGCGAGGAAGATGGGCCAAATGCTCTTTTCCCGCGAGAGAGTCACCTCCGCGAGCTGTTGTGCGACTCCTCGGTCGCGCGCCTTACCTTCGGCAGCAGCACCGTGGCTCGGCATATACGCCTCGCCTCCGCGCGTAGCCTTATCGCCGTCTTGCGAGTCTGTGAAGCCTGTGCCGTTGCCTGACTGGAAGGCATTTACGTGCGCGCACCTTGGCCAGTTTGGCTCCACACGCGGGTTAATTCGGAGCGATTGGACGCGAGAAGTGCTGCAATCGAGCGTGGTGAGGTATCGCTCCATCATCTCACTGAGGACAGACAGGATCGAACGTGGCGTTAGTACCCATGGGGTGAGCTAACGATAACCACCCGCACAATACGTACGGCCCCATAGTCTCGTCATCAACAAAGCCAAAGTACATGAACGGTGTTGTTCGTGTGTTCTCCCTGGCGCGGCACTCATTGTCCGGACGCGCAAGACTGAAGAGTGGGTGGAAATACCATTCGAGCCACTCTGAGCCAGGTCCATATGGTAAGTCGAATCCGAGACCAATGTTGACGCAGCGGAAGATCTTCTCCTCGACCAGCGGCCGTGCAACAAGCTCCTCCATTGCGAAGCGTGCTGCTAGGCTGGTCGGGTGATTGCGCCAATGCGCATTGCCCGAACATACGGTCATGAAGCGGTTGACACGACGCGTGCTACTGCTGCTGGCGCGGTTGGAAGACACCGCCGACGACGGATATGCTTCATTCGCCACAAATTCGGGCTCGAGGAGGACGTGCAGATGCCCACCAAGTGAATGTCCCATAATGGTCAATTCGATCTGGCGCGCTCTCGCGACCCCGCCAGGCATCAGTCTCGCGCACTCTTCGCGGGCGTGCAGCACGATAGCCTTGAGGTCTTTCCTCCCCCAGCTCTGTGTCAGATCTTCCGATTCGGGACATTCGCGCAGAGCCGCATCGTATGCCTGGTTGTACTCATCTTCACCTGCTTCCCCTCTCGCCTTGGCAGCTGTGAGGATGCGCTGCGTGTGCTCAGGGAATGAAGAGCCCGAGTAGCGGTAATCAAAGGTGAAAGCTAGGACGCAGTGCTGTGCGGCCCATCTGCAAGCCGCAATACGACACAGCCAAAGCGGATGAAATAAGTTTCTCTTCTACATTGCGCTCATTGATGCACAAAACTTGCACTTGCTAGTTCGCACCTGCTAAAGTCATGGTAAAACCGTGCGTGAACACCGGTCGCATTCGCGGTTACAAGGATCGCTCGAATGGTGCTCGGGTCCTGGGGCCGGAAAATATGAGCGGCGAGCGGAAAGCCATCTTCAGCTTTGACTGTAAGCGCTTCGCCAATCGCACTGGTGGTAAATGTCGTGGACATGATGAAGGCAAGGAAGACGTCCTACAAGCTTGGGCTCTGTGTGTTTTGTATACTGTCACTCGTGAAAAAGATGCTTCAATACAGGTGAAAGAGTGAGCAAAGTGAAGGGAAGTCAGTGAATGGCGCTTGCTAGAGAGTCCCTTTCAAAGCGGCTGCTTTTCCTTCCGGTGACCGACTGGTAGCATGCCCCACAACGAGCTGAGGTGTTGAGCAACGAGCAGTTGACACCGCAAGACCGGTTCTAAGATGTTGAAAGCCGTCAGCACGAAAGCTGAGCTTTCCCACGTGCCGTCCGTCAGCTTGGGTTGCCGGAGTCCGGGCTGATCGTGCTCCGAATGGAAGAAGCAACCCTACTCGAAAGCGAGTGACAGGTTGCGCTCCGTCTCATTCTCCTCGTGCACGGCTCAACCATCCAAAGAGAGAACTTCCTGCTAAGCTGTGCTATAGCGTATGGCCTGTCCATGACTGCTTCTCAATGAGATCATCGGACGCGTGCTTCTGCCAGCACTCTCTTCCCGGCGCGCGTGCAATCGGATGTGCGGTCTCGCCACTTCGATCTTCTGCCATGCGCGACTGTGTACGCTCACGCATGAGGAGGGACGAGCTGTTTGCCGCGAAGTGCTTTGTGTCCCTAGCTCTTTTGCGACGCAGCTGGATGACGAGGCCGTAGAATAGCATCGTCGAACGAGGGCCTGTCAGATGCGATGGCGCGTACACCGGGAGCCAACAGTGGTGGCGGCGGCAATGCTCGAGGCTTCACCCTCTCGCACCAGCACGTCGCGCTCGAGTTGCGCTTCGACGGCATCGCGGAGGGCTACTCGGAACTGACGATCGTCCCCACCGATCCCGACCTGAAAACTATGCACGTCAATTGCCGACAAGCAGGTGAGTGTCCTTCTTTATGGATATCTGTTGAGTGTAGTGAGAGATTAAAATACGCAGCCGAAGGCTCACAGTACCTTTTCGCGCTTCACTTCTGCAGACATCCGTTATGTCACTGTCAATTCGCAGCCAACATCCTACGCATACAACGATCTCTTGTCGAACGTCACGCTCTCTAACGACAAGGACGTTCATCTCTATCCCGAGCTCAAGAGAAAGCTCTTTGCCGCTGCGAGTGATGGCAGCAATGGCGAGCTCAGCATCGCAATTTCTCCCGATGTTGGCATCCAAACTCTCAAAGAAAGGGTGGAGGCTGAGCAGGAATCGAAGGCTGACGCGCTGAAGGATACTTCCATGAATGGGTCCGCTCTGAGAGGCCAGTCAAATACGCAGGAACAAGGTCCCTCAGAGAATTCCGACAAGACCAAGACCGCGAATCGTGAGTCAAAGGTAGCGGAGGATGCTGGCAGGGAGGACGGCGCCCAAACAGAGGACGAATACGCGCCTCTGAAGGTCCGGATCTACTACTCGCTGCGCCATCCGTTGCACGGACTGCAGTTTGTCAAGGCGACGCCGGACGCGCCCTACCGTATTCCGCACATTTATAGTACACCAAGCTGCGCGGATTGGAGCCGCTGTTGGACGCCTTGCCTTGACAGCCTCTGGGAGAGATGCACGTGGCAGCTGGACTTTGTCGTTCCGCGTTATCTCACCCCAGCAGCGTTGGGTGAAAGCACATCAGATGACGAGGAGGATGTTGCCGACAACGACGCGGATGAAGTTGTTGTTGTCTGCTCAGGTGACCTCGTCGAAAAGACAGTGCATCCGCACTGCCCTTCCAAAATCATTTTTTCGTATGAACAGGCAGCGCCTACGTCAGTCCAGCATATCGCTTTTGCAATCGGGCCTTTCAGCATGCACACTGTTGCTTCGCCCAGCAAGCAAACTCCGAAGAGCATTACTGGCTCGAACCCAAATTCCAACTCTAATTCCACAGATGCCGCCGCCGACGATTGCAGTCCACAGGTCATTGGATTCTGCTTCCCTGGGCGCGAGGAAGAGATGCAACACTCGATCGGATTTACGCGCCAAGCTTTCGACTTCGTATCGCGTGACTATGGGTCTTATCCATTTGGCTCGTTCAAGATGGTCTTTGTCGATGAGCCAATCAACGACTGCCACGCTGCGTCTACCATCGCTATCTGCTCGACCGATCTCCTTCACCCTCCGAGAATTGTTGATCAAGCGTACGAGACGCATCATGTCCTGTCGCACGCCATCGTCTTCCAGTGGATTGGCATCAATGTCACCCAACGCTCCTGGGCAGATATGTGGCTCATCCACGGCATAAGCTTGCATATCACCAGTCTGTTCTTACGGAGAATATGGGGCAACAATGAGTACCGTCTCAGGCTGCGTAAGGACATGGAACGTCTCGTCGCCTGGGATATCGGCATGCCTCCCTTGTTCCAAGCGGGAATGACCGAGCCGCCGGATCCTGCTTTCCTGCCGTTTCTAAATCTCAAAGCGCCACTCGTGCTCTTCATCCTCGATCGGCGCTTGTCCAAGGTCAGCGCATCGTTGGGCCTCAGCAGAGCCATTAACAAGATATTTCTCGATGCTCTGACAGGAGAGCTGCAAGGCAGTGTGCTCAGCACAAGTCATTTCTTACGCCAGTGCCGCAAGCTAGGAGGTGTAGATTTGACCACCTTCACAGAGCAGTGGATCTACGGCTCGGGATGTCCACGCTTCTCCTTCACCGCTGCGTTCAATCGCAAGAAGCTCATCATCGAGATGACTATCAGACAGGACTGTCCGGCTGCCAACTTTGCTATGACGAACCCAAGCGACGCAATCTACTCGAACCCGATCGAGAAGTTCGAAGGGCAGATCACTGTCCGCATCCATGAGGCTGACGGTACGCCGTACGAGCACGTTATCGATATCGATTCGCACGAGAAGCGCATCGATGTCCCTTTCAACACCAAGTACAAGCGTGTCAGGCGCAACACGAAGCGCTTCCAGGCGAGAAAGGAGGCCGCCGCTGCGGCTGCTGCCGGCGATGAAGAAGCCCGAGAAGCTATGGGCCTGATCGACCTTGGCTTCGTCTATGGCCAGTGGGAGGACGATTCGGAGCGCGAGGCTTGGCAGGTAGCTGATTGGACTGAGCAGGAAGAGCTCGATATGAGCTCCGCACCTTACGAGTGGATCCGCGTCGACCCAGACTGTGAATGGCTCGCTCTCATCCACTTCCAGCAAGAACCTTGGATGTGGATCTCCCAGCTGGAAAGAGATCGGGACGTCATTGCACAACTTTGCGCAGTCAATGCGCTTGCACAAATGCCATCCAAGGTCGTCAGCAGCATCCTCTGCCGCACCGTCCTTGTCGAAAAGTACTTCTTCCGAATACGAGTTGAAGCGGCACATGCCCTCGTCAATTGTGCTGTGCCGACTCTCGAGTATCTCGGCCTCTTCCACCTGCTCAAGCTCTTCCAGTCGCGCTACTGCCATCAACAGCCACCAGACTACGAAGCCGAAGGTCCTCTCGACATGCTCTTGATTCCGAAGGCCAACGACTTTTCTGACCTGCCGGAATACTTCTTGCGCAGGGCTATCCTTCACGCCATCAGCCGTGTGCGCAATGAGCATGGTCGTCCCCTGAGCCAGGTCAAGCGCTTCCTCGTCAATGTCCTGCGATATAACGACAATTCTTCGAATCGCTTCGGTGATGACTTTTACATTGCCGGCCTCATAAACACCATCGCTGCTGCCTACATCCCTGCAGACTACAATCTCAACGCGCCACTCCCCCTACTCTCGGCTGAAGAACGCGAAGCAGATGCGTTGCTGCTGCAAGCAGCTGTAAACGAGATTGAGCGCTGCCGCGAACTGGATATGCTCGTACCCTCGTATCACAACATCATCTCCATCGCAGCGCTGGACTTTCATCTGGCGACCATGATGGCCAATTTGCGGCCTGTCGACTTGCAGCTGTTCTTCGCCTACACGCGGCAGGGCAACTATGCTTCCCTGCGGGCCGTTGCATTCAACAGTCTTGTGCTGATGCGTGGCTTGCAGCACAAGGTCGTCGCGAGGTATCTCTTCGAGGTGCTTCGTTGTGACGAAAGTCGCGTGGTGCGGCGGACACTGGCCAGGGCGATGCTCGAGTCGCTTGCTGCGTCGGTTGCGACGAATGAGTATGGCGAACTCAAAGCCCGGACGATGTTTATCGAAGGGGATGCGGCAACAGCCGCCAGCGAGGCGGAGCGTGCGCGCGAGCAAGATCTCGACAATGTTCTGCGGACGCTCAGACGGGAAGTCGGGCGCTCAGCTGCCATCCGAGAGGGGTTCATGGCCGCACTGCTCTCTCCCACAGTCGACAGCGAAGCAAGATGGGCTCTGCTCAAGCTAGCAGAGCTGCTCTTCAAGCCGGCTGCAGAAACGGACCTGCCCTTCCTACCGAAGGTCTCTGTGCATGTCCGCACGCTTTCCATGAGCGGAGCTGCAGAATTGGACACCCCAAGCACTGAAGGATTCCGTCTCAAGCTTGTTCGCAGTGCAGCCGAGCCGACGCCAGGTGAGTCCGAACCTAGCCTTACCCTTTGTGTGCTTGCTTTGTTAAACTGCAGTTCTGGCCATCATCAGCAACAGAGCCATCTGCGTCCACGCCGCGAGTAGCATTCGATGTTACACAAGAGAAAGTGCTGCCCAAGTTTACTCTTAAGCCAAAGAAGCCGAAGAAAGCAAAGCCGGCAGCACCCGAGCAGGCATCAGGCATGTCGACGATGGATGTGACAGCTTGCCGCAATTGCTTGAAGAAGCTCTTCGAGAGCCGGCATGCCCCGCTCTTTCTCAACCCCGTCGATCCTGTGCGAGATCAGGCGCCGAACTATTTTGAAGTCATATCGGAACCGATGGATCTCAATTCGATTATGAACAAGCTTAATGCGGGAATGTACAAGGATCGCTTTGACTTCAAGAGCGATTTTGAACTGCTCGTGCGCAATGCGAAGACGTACACACCGAACCCGGAAGCATATGTTCACCAAGAAGCAGCGGCGCTGGAGAAGGACTTCAACCGCCATTGGAACAGGATCACGCGAACACTGGAGCAAGCTGAGGCTAAACACCACAAACAGACTGAGGCCTCCGAGGGCATGGCCAACGGCGCCTCCATCGCCGCCGCCGCTCCTGCACAGGAGGAGCGTCAAGCACCTACAGCGGCAGCAGCCTCAGTTCCAGCACCAGCACCACCATTAGCAACAGCAGCTCCGCCACCACCAGCGCAATCAACTCGCATCACCACCTCGATGCCCCCACCTATCCACATTCCCTCTGCATCACCAGCACCATCGCTGCCGACAACAAAGGCGTCCGGGTCTGGTCTTGGGTTGAAGCTGAAGCTGAAGCCCAAGGTGAGCGTCTCTGGCGGCTCAGCACCTGCGCCAACATCTGTCGCTACTCCGCCAAAAGAGATCAAGCTGAAGCTCAAGTCAGCAACGCCTGTGTCTGAGCGGAAAGCGTCGCCGGCTCCCGCCGCTGCGGCTGTTGCTGCAAGGGTCCCTTCTACCAAAGGCACTTCATCTCCGGCACCAAGTCCGGCTCCGGCCAAGGCATTGTCCAAGGCGCCGAGCCCTGCGCCTCCCAAGGCCAATGCGATGCCCGCAGCATCCTCGGACCCGGTGGCTGCGGCGGGCAAGGAGCCGATGAATTCAAAGCGGTGCAAGTCGCTGTTGCAAACGATGAAGAGGATGTCGGAGGCTGCGTTCTTTTTGCGCCCGGTGGACCCGGTCAAGGATGGCGTGCCGACGTGAGTGATGGCACGTGCGCTCTCAGGGAGAGCAAAAGGAGGCCTGCGAGCACTAACTTGATTCATTCTGACGGTCTCGGACTGAGCAGCTACTACGACGAAATCAAGCATCCAATGGATTTTGGCACGATGGAAAAGAAGCTGAACGACAATGCGTACTCGCGTATGTCCGAGTTTGCGGCGGACATGCAACTGGTGTTTGGGAACGCGCGCACGTTCAACCCGGTAGGGACACTACCACACAACTGGGCAAACGTGTGCGAGCAGGCGTTCCACAGGGAGTGGGCCAAGGCGCTGGTCCCGCGGCTGGAGTACGTCGAGAAGCGCGCTCTCCAGGGCCTGCTGACGCGGCTCAAGGCGAACGTCGGTGTCTCTGGGATATTCCTGCATGCGGTAGACCCGGTCGCGCTGGGGATACCGCACTACCACGATGTGATTCCCAAGGCGGACGCGCGCGACCTGGGCCTGATCGAGAACAAACTCAAGGGGGATAGGTACGGGAGCATGCGCGCGTTCACTGAGGACGTGCAGCTCATGGTGCAGAATGCTCGCACCTTCAACGCTGGAGATGACGGCGTGCTCACGCTGATCGATGCATTTGAGCGGCTGTACAAGAAGGAGCTCAGCGGCGTGCGCAGCGCGTTGTCGTCGGCAGGAGGAGGGGGAGGCGGCGCGTCATCGTCATCGACTATGGCGGGTATGAAGAGAAAGTCGGAGAGCAATGGTGGCGGTAGTGGTGCCTCTGCTTCTCATGGCGCTGGCGATTCGCACAAGAAGGCCAAGACTTCATGATGTCCCTGTCCCCACTGCATGTGTCGGTGGTCGCATGTCCGGCACCACGTTGCACCCCCGCTTGAAATGGAGCGGGCTCCATCCCCACTGTACCTCTCCCACACGTATATCTGCCCCACATGTACAGCTTGTTTGAGGAATGCAGGGTGCGAGCACGGTGAAAAGTGTGTTATGTTGGAGCGGCAATCAAGTGTGTGTATGCCTGCATGGACTGCGCAGATGTGCGACGATAATGGGAACTGACTGGGGGAAGCACCCTTGCCGTGGTTGCCGCTCCAGTTTGATGTGACGCGAGTCTCTCTGAAAAGGATGAGATGAAATCACCCGGTGGGGGGCCCCCATGGCGGAGTGTGGTGAGTGATGGCAGGCAGGCAGGCACTTTGACTGCGGAGCTGCCCACTGCCCGCTCTCCCTTCCCCGGCTCGGGAACGCCAATCGCCGGCCAGCATAGGCACGGTCACAGGCTCTTCGATTTCACATGTGGATGGCTAACCATGTCGTCCGTGACTCGCATGTGAAAGCCATGCGATTACCCTGCAGAATTGAGATAGGAGCGTTCCATGGAGAGAGCTTGAGTTGGCGGCTCATTCTCTCATACAGGACTTCCTTGCTTCTCTCCCATGTGCGTGCCATCCATGCATCCTACTTCCATAGCGCAGCAAAACCCAGGGGGAGATTGGAGAGCCCAGCGGCGGGCCAGCACCACCAAAAGGTCATCGACGAAAGGTGCGATTGCTTTCCTTTGCAAGTGCACATCGTCTATCACTCATCTTCAGTCCCAGCTGTGACCTCATACACGGACAGCCCAGAGAGGTACATAATAGGAGCTTGGACTGCAACC